GATTTTGATTTTTTCTTCATGTTACTTTAATGTTTTTAAAATGAATATAGTTTATTAAAACCTGAACTATAGAACAAGATTTTGATTTTTACTTGATGTTACTTTGTAGTTCTATAAAATGAATGTAATTTACTAAAACCTGAACTACAATACTGAATTTTCAGTGCTCATGTTTTAAAACATGAGCTACATTCATTTGATATGTACTGAATACTTAAATCTGCATGCTTTTATACTATATTACTATGTTCTTAAATTTTCAGTGGCCATGCTTCATTAAAAATACATGTCTACATTTTAATTATAAGTTCATGTTTTCAGTAAGCATTTTAAAAGACAGTGTTTATGTTAATTACTTCATTATAGCACATTTTTATTAAAATTCAACAGATATTTACATCATGCCTAGAACTAAAAGAGTGAGAACAGAAGCTGGTGAAAGTTCTAACCCTTAACGACGCGAACAATAGCAGCCTCAAAATCAGTCATATCCTACAGATGAATTTCTCAGTGAAAGTCATGAACTAGCCTTTCAAAATTTCTCAAGCCGACCTATTGTAACAGGGATGAGGGTCAATCTGCCACCTCAATATGATGCACTACTAGTTAGTAAACTTGAATCAATGGGATGGCTAAATTTAATTAATTTACCCCAAAAGGTATATCCACGGCTAGTATCCCTTTTTTATGTTCACCTAAGAGTTACTCATGAAGAAGATGGAAATTTTACTCTTATCTCATATGTGAAAGGAAAGGGTGTACAGTTTGATGTTCCTACTTTGGCACGCATTATTGGAGTTGAGGTAAGTGAAAAAAATACCTATTTTCAGACTGAGGCTGAGTTAGTTAATATTGTCGGTAATGGTTCTGATGTATATACTACTATATGTCAAAACAGATTTACTGGAACTAGTCTACAAGCAAGACATTTAAAATCTTATCTTCGCATCCTCCACCGGTGGATTGTGGAAAATGTCACTCCGAAAAAAGGACATCATGATGCGGTCCCATATTTTAATGCCTATTTGTTATACTATTTTGAGGTTGGGCAGAAGTTAGATGTGTTTTACATAATTATGAAAGAAATGGTGCTGGCAAATCAAGAAATGGGCCAGTCATTACTGTTTGGGCGCTCTTGACAAAAATTTTCAAATATTTTAAGGTTCATCTTGCAAATGAAATGGAGATCAAAATCCGTTCACCCATTACGCAATATACTGTGAATCGTGCTGGTGCAGCCGCCAATTTAATGGGAAATGATAATGCTGCAGAAGATTCAGAGGATGAAGTCTCACCAGATGATGGTCGACAAGATCCTCCTGTCAATGTGATGCCATCAACTGAACCACCTCAATATTGGACTGATTTTTTGGCCATAGAAGAACAACGTTATAATCAACGCGTTGAATGGGAACATCAAATGGCTAATCAGGTCAATTCGTTGGGTACTCAGTTTGAGACATTTGCCACTACACAGAACTCATTAATTGAACAATTTGGTGAGTTTCGTTTGGACATTGGAAGACGTCATGACATGGCAAACAATCGCATTGATAGAATTGAGCATCGTGTAAATGACATATACCATCACTACTTCCCTCCTCCATCACAACCAGATAATGACTGCTGATCGGTGTGCCATTATGTGTTTCCATTGTTTTGTCTTGTATTATTTTCACAACCTTTTGTTAGGTAAATTTCTTTTATGAATGTACTGATTTTGTAATATTATGTGATATAAAATGATCTTGGTTGGGTATTACTTTAGCACCATCTTTTCGACCTTCACTCATACCATAATCTGTAATATGTTATTAATGTTTCTGATTACTTAAATTTGTATGAAAGTTTTTGAAAGGTGTAATGGTAACCAAAGAAAAGAATAAAGGATGTATTTATATGTAAGTAGTTATCTGTAATACTGTATGTACAAAGAGACAACATATTCTTATTTGAGAAATCAGACAGAGGAGATTCATTGAGATGAAGATAAGACGCAGATTGAATGAAGGGTGAAATTATAAAACCTTGGAATTATAATCATCTATAACAATATGAAGATGTAGCCCATTAGACTTGATTGCGTAACAGAAGAACAACACCCATTTAGATAGTTGTAGGAAATTGTAGAAGAAAAAAAAATATATGAGCCCCTTATCTGACATATCCATGAAGAAGAATTGCATTCATGATAAGTACTTAGTAATTGGTGTGTTTTGTTTTTACCAATCAATATGGTATCCAAAGAAGCAGTAGAGAATAGATCGCAACCATCTCAAGAAACAAAAACTGAGCACAAATTAATTAATTTCTCATTTTACATATATAGAAAACGCAAGTGACACATTTCATATAATTGTACACAGTTTTTCCGTTTCCTTTTCCAATAGATGACACCAATAGATGAAACCAGTAAATATAGAACCTTACAAGGTAATCTATTAGTTGTTCGAAATAAAATCTGTCGTTGAAGATCTTCGTAGTACGCCATTTGCATTGGATTTAAATTTGTCATGTCCATTGACATTATTTTATGATCTTCATTTCGTTGTTCTCTTTCATTCATCATAGATAGGAGTTTTAGTTGTTCCTCCCTATCTTCGGCCCTTCTTCGACGGTCTGCAGCTTTCTGGTTACGGTCGATCGCCTTTTGTTCATCTCGCTCAATAGTTCTAGCAGAAATAGTTGATAACACTTCAACCAGTTTGGATTGGTTGGCAGCCATTTCATCCGCATTATTCTGGTTGGATTGAGAAGCCTCATATTCACTTGGTGGATTCGAATATGGATCAGTATGTTGCGTGCTTCTTTTTGATCGAAATTCATCCCACTTACAACTTTGACGCAAAATCTCCCAACATGTATCAAATGTGAAGTGTTTTTTCTGTATTGCATGATACATCCGCTTCGCTTCAGTGACCTACAAAAAAAAAGTTACAAAGATTTCAATAACAAGTATACATTTAAAAATAAATTTGATATTTAATAACACAAATAAAATTTACCATATCTGCCTCAGTTGTTCCACTTTGTTGCCTCAGTTGAATTTGTTCAAGAAAACCACAAAATTTATTAATTGCCTTTTGTATGGCTGACCAACGGTGAGTCAAAGAAATACGATTTCGATTGGATTCACCGCTCAATTGTGAATTAAAATTAACAAGTACTCGTTCCCAAAATATAACCATAGTCTGACTATTACCAGTAATGGGATCTTGAGAGACTGCTAACCAAGATCTACATAAAGTTTCATCTTCTATAATTGTAAATGCTTTACCACGAGAAACACGAGAAGTTTCTGAAATGAAATGATTATCACTGCTCTGCGTGTTCTGTTCTCGCGAAGTTTCCGACATAAAATTAATATCAGTGTTGTGCTGAAACATTTGTGATTCTTCAAACATTTGGAAATCTTCCATCACTTAAAAAAAATACAGTACATACAATATGTAAAATAGTAAAAAATATTAGAATGATATACAATATAAATTAAAGTTTCAAAGGAGAAAAATCACAGAAGAAACAAAATTCACAACATACAATGTAATGCTCTTCTCAAAATAAAAGACTCTGTCATCTTGATATACAAAACTGATATATTTTATAGCACACATTATCAACGGTAAATTTAAAAAAAACTCTGTTCATGCAACGGTAAATTTATTAAAAGGGCTACTTTTTAAAATATGTATATGAGCGGCAAATTATCAAAAGACTCTGTCCATCCAACGGTAAATTTACTGAAACGACTAATTTTAAAATATTTATATAAAAGATAACAATTTGAATTATATTTTCAATGAAATTGAAATTTATATCACCCTTCAAATTATTTCAAATTATTCCAAGTCCACAATTCTACCTGTTTAAACCAAACCTGTCAAACCAAACCTGTTCAAGGCAGTACCATTCTCATGCGTAGACCGGGCGATCGGATGGTCAACCAGCCGGTCAACTGGCTGGTTGACCGGTTCACCTACACAGCTCAGGCCACGGACTAGTTTAAACCCATCAGTTCAGCCAGTTCAAACCCCTCATAGTCCAAACCCGTCGCATAATCTGATGAACCGGTTGACCGGTTGGTCAACCGGCCGGGCAACCGATGCATCTCTTTCAACGGTCAGTAACAGTGATTTGATAAAATCCAGAACTTGTTCTCAGTTTGATACTTTTTTTGCTGATTTCTCATTTTGATATTCATTTGATGCAACGGTTGGAGCATAGAAAAGTATATTTTTCATCAAAATTTAAATCTGATATCAATTTTGGTTCACCATTGGAGATGGTCTAACATGATTAGTCTGATTGATCATAACTTTTGAAAAAAAAAAAAAAAAAATAACACAAGCACGGCATTTTTGGATTTTTTTTTTGAGGACATAAGAAACATTATATTAATAAACAATAACATTACATAAACGGGATTTTTTTTTTTAAAGTTTATGATATTAATATTTTATAAGATAAATGACATACAATATTTTTATACTAGTTACGATCCCTCAATATTTTTCACGGAGAAATTTTGTTTGACTACGAGAAATTTTAATTTTTACTGAGAAAAATTTCTCTGTGATCATACCAGACAAATTTTAAAATTTCTTTAAGTCGAGACTAAAATTTATTTGAATCAATTTTTTTTTGTAAAAATATTAAAAAACCTTAACTAATAAAAAAATACCTTAAAATCTCCCCTAATAAACAAAATTAAAAAGGGGTATTTCATTAGTTTCTCTTACATAAATCAGACATCAAACCTCAAAGGCTATTCAACTAAACAACAATACAAAAATTAAAGACTAGAAAAAATTAAAGAAATAAAATTATTAATAATTAAAAGGGTATAAATAAGAAATTAACCAGAGCACAGGTTAGTTGTTGCATTATTTATTAGCATCCACAGCTTCGTCGCGCTTGCCTCTGCGAATCTTTGAAAGAAAAGGCTTGTTTTGTTGCATTATTTATTAGCATCCACAGCTTCGTCGCGCTTGCCTCTGCGAATCTTTGAAAGAAAAGGCTTGTTTATGGAAGAAGACGCACAAGAATCATCCGAAGAAGAAGAAGAAGAAGACAACCATCCTTCTCTCCTCCATTCCTTTTTCATGGCCTAGACAGACAAACATATAACATCCTTCTCTCCTCCATTCCTTTTTCATGGCCTAGACAGACAAACATATAAATCTAGAGAGAGAGAACCAGAAGAAAGGCATTAGGTTTCAGAGAGAGAATGGGGAAGGGGCCATTCTCATTTCGCCGGACGAGCAGCCGTCGACGGATGAAGAAACCGCCGCACACGGAGGTTGAGGTGGTGTCTCTGTTGCCGAACAATGCTATTGATGCGCAGTCGCCGAATAACGCCGCCGCCGCCGTGAATAACTCGATCTCCGCCATGGTGGCGGCGGGGACGTCGATCAAGCCGAAGAAGAAGGCCGGAGGGGCGAAGCTGTGGATGCGGTTCGACAAGTTCGGGCAATCGGAGCTGATCGAGTGCGATAAGAGCATGATTATTAAGCGTGCGTCGATTCCGGCTAGGGATTTGAGGATTCTTGGCCCCATCTTCTCTCACTCCTCCAATATCCTTGGTAATTCCTTCATTTTCAAATCAATCTTTGATCCATTTTCACACACACAAGCATTCACATACACATACATACCTTCTTCTGTTTTTTTGGTAAATAAGAAAGCCAATTCAGAGACACATATCTGCATTCATGTGTATATATATACTTGCAATTTAATTTCTACCTTTTGTGACCTTTAATTGATTTTTTTTTGTTTTTCATTCCTTGTTAGTGTATGTTAGGATCGCCCAAATGGTGTGAGTAGGGAGGGAAAATTATGACTCGATTGTATTTGTTGTCCCAACCTGATTTTAATAAATAATTGTTTGGGAGAATATTGGTAGGGTAGGGTAAATTATAGGGGGGTAGTAGGAAGGTTAAAACTATAAGGATTAAAGTATGAAATTGTATTATCAAAATAGTTGAGTTTAAAATAAAAAATTCGCACGAAAAATCCAACCCATTGCCATCCCTAGGTATGAAACATACATTGGAATATTCCACTAGGTACGGGATATAAGAATTATGTTAGACCTAACATTTGGTATTATAGCTAGCATCATGTCATGAATTTAAGTTGCAGGGGGGTTCAACATATAGGCTGGATTTAAATTCCTTGCAAAGGTGTTGAATGCCTAGGTGAGTGAGGAGAAAGGAAAGGGCTACAATTGAGATAGTGTTGTTGATGTGGACATTCGGCTCAGAAGCGTGCTTGTATGTTGCAATCAAGGTTGTAAATATGATCATGGTTGTAGGGTATTCTGGTATGAGATGGAATGGAATATAGGAATTGATGGCACCTAAGAATTGATGGTACTTGTTCCATCATACCTTGTTCGTTCAGTGAAGCAATTTTGTTAGCGGGTAAGTACGAAATAAAAACATGCACATGTTATGCAATAACACTTAGGCCATGTTTGTTTGGGTAGACATGTGATTGGGATTGGACTAATAGTCCAATAAAATTATTAATCCGATGTTTGATTAAAAAATTTAAGTATGAACTAACAATGCATCCGGATATGGTATCTCACATATGATGAATTATTCAATCTCACGTAGGGGGTGAGATATAAATTGAAGGATTAAGTCAAAGTCTGGACTAACTTATCAAATGACCATCGGATTGGATAATATTTTGTTAATCCCTCCTTATAATCCTAACTCAATCTAAACATAGGATAAGATACACAATCGAAAGCGATTCGTAGTCTTAGGACTACTAGTCATGAAAATGCTAATCCAATAAATTCTTAACTATTTTCCTATATAATGATAAAATTATTGAATTATTAATTAAAATAAATTTCTGGTATCATTAAAAACTATTAATTGCTTTGATGATTTATTAATAAAAGAGACTATTTGTTATGAAATTATAAATTTCAAGGAGCGGGATGTAATTTTTACAACTATAATGTTAATTATATTTTAAATAAATCTCAATAAATGTATTTGTAATTTTAAAAAAGTGAAAAATGAGAGAATTAGATGTAATATTTTAATATTATTATATTTAAAAAGTTTAAGTTACAAAATTAGTAACTAGCATGATTAGTCTGATTGATCAGAACTTTTGAAAAAAAAAACACAAGCGTGATATTTTTGTTTTTGTTTTTTTTTGAAAACATGATAAACATTATATTAATAAACAATAACATTACATAAAGGGGATTTGTTTTTTAAGGTTCATGATATTAAGATTTTATAAGATAAATGACATATAATATTTTTATAGTAGTTAAGATCCCTCAATATTTTTCACAGAGAAATTTTGTTCGACTTAGAGAAATTTTAATTTTCATTGAGAAAAATTTCTTTGTGATCATACCATATCAATTTCAAAATTTCTTTAAGTCGGGACCGAAATTTCTCTTAGTTAGATAAAAAATTTATTTGAATCAAATTTTTTTTGTAAAAATATTAAAAAACCTTAACTAATAAAAAAATACCTTAAAATCTCCCATACTAAACAAAATTAAAAAGGAGTATTTCATTAATTTTCTCTTACATAAATCAGACCTCAAAGGCTATTCAACCAAACAACAAGACAAAAATTAAAGACTCTAAAAAATTAAAGAAATAAAATTATTCAGTGTGTTTGGTTTGAGTTTTCTGGATAAAGTTTTTGAAAACTGACTTTTTTAGTTTTCGTATTTTTTTGTTTTTAGTGAATATTTTTTAAATTTTAAACATTTTTTTTTACTTTTTTAGATGCACCTTATTTAGATGTATCTAAAAAGTAAAAAATTTGTGAAAAAATATTTTAAAAAATTAATAAATACATAAAAATACAAAAAATGTATTGAATTTTTGTATTTTTTTTTGTATTTTTCGTATTTAGTGAATTTTTAAAAGATTTTTTTTACAATTTTTTTACTTTTTAGGTGTATTTATGTTAGGTGTGTCTAAAAAGTAAAAAAATTGCTTAAAATATTGAAAAAATTCAGCAAAAAAAAAAAATACGGAAAATAAGAAAGTAAAATTTTCTGAAAAGTGTTTTTTGAAAAGTGGAAACAAGCAAGGTGATTAATAATTAAAAGGGTATAAATAAGAAATTAACCCAGAGCACAGGTTAGTTGTTGAATTATTTATTAGCATCCACAGCTTCGTCACACCTGCCTCTGCGAATCTTTGAAAGAAAAGGCTTGTTTATGGAAGAAGACGCACAAGAATCATCCGAAGAAGAAGCAGACAACCATCCTTCTCTCCTCCATTCCTTTTTCATGGCCTAGACAGACAAACATATAAATCTAGAGAGAGAGAACCAGAAGAAAGGCATTAGGTTTTAGAGAGAGAATGAGGAAGGGGCCATTCTCATTTTGCCGGACGAGCAGCCGTCGACGGATGAAGAAACCACCGCACACGGAGGTTGAGGTGGTGGCTCTGTTGCCGAGCAATGCGATTGATGCGTAGTCGCCGAATAACGCCGCTGCCGCCGTGAATAACTCGATCTCCGCCATGGTGGCGGTGGGGACGTCGATCAAGCTGAAAAAGAAGGCTGGAGGGGCGAAGCTGTAGATGCGGTTCGACAAGTTCGGGCAATCGGAGCTGACCGAGTGCGATAAGAGCATGATTATTAAGCGTGCGTCGATTCCGGCTAGGGATTTGAGGATTCTTGGCCCCATCTTCTCTCACTTCTCCAATATCCTTGGTAATTCCTTCATTTTCAAATCAATCTTTGATCCATTTTCACACACACCAGCATTCACATACACATACATACCTTCTTCTGTTTTTTTGATAAATAAGAAAGCCAATTCAGAGACACATATCTGCATTCATGTGTATATATATACTTGCAATTTAATTTCTACCTTTTGTGACCTTTAATTGATTTTTTTTGTTTTCTTTTTGTTTTTTTCATTCCTTGTTTGTTAGTGTATGTTAGGATCGCCCAAATGGTATGAGTAGGGAGGGAAAATTACGACTCGATTGTATTTGTTGTCCCAACCTGATTTTAATAAAAAATTGTTTGGGAAAATATTGGTAGGGTAGGGTAAATTATAGGGGGGTAGTAGGAAGGTTAAAATTATAAGGATTAAAGTATGAAATTGTATTATCAAAATAGTTGAGTTTAAAATAAAGAATTCGCACGAAAAATCCAACCCATTGCCATCCCTAGGTATGAAACATACATTGGGATATTCCACTAGGTATGGGATATAAGAATTATGTTAGACCAACGTTTGGTATTATAGCTAGCATCATGTCATGAATTTAAGTTGTGGGGGGGTTCAACATACAGGCTGGATTTAAATTCCTTGCTAAGGTGTTGAATACCTAGGTGAGTGGAGGAGAAAGGAAAGGGCGACAATTGAGATAGTGTTGTTGATGTGGACATTGGGCTCAAAAGCGTGCTTGTATGTTACAATCAAGGTTGTAGGGTATTCTGGTGTGAGGTGGAATGGAATATAGGAATTGATGGCACCTTGGAATTGATGGCACTTGTTTCATCATACCTTGTTCGTTCATTGAAGCAATTTTGTTAGCGGGTAAGTACGAAATAAAAACATGCACATGTTATGCAATAACACTTAGGCCATGTTTGTTTGGACGGATATGTGCTTGGGATTGGACTAATAGCCCAATAAAATTATTAATCCGATGTTTGGTTAAAAAATTTAAGTATGAACTAACAATGCATCCGGATATGGTATCCCACATATGATGGACTATTCAATCCCACGTAGGGGTTGAAATATAAATTGGGGGACTAAGGACTAGTTTGGCAACCTTAGGAAAAGCCAAAAAGTCAAAAAGTTACAAAAAAAGTTAAAAAATTATCACTATTCATCAAAAAAAAATATTAAAAAATTAATATACAAATATTAAAATAAATAAACTTTTTGGCCCAAGATTGGTATTGACGTGATCAAGTAGTCAGTGACAGAGAAAAAAAAAAAATTACAGCTGGCCAATCACAAAATTGGATGGTAAAGTTGGGCTCGTGGGGGCCCACCATAGGTCCCGTTTTGATAATCTGAACCGTTCAATATGTAGAATTCGTTTAGTACTATATGCCTGCAAAAAATCACGTCTATCGGATATCGCTAATTACATGATCAAATCAGTTTTTTATAAAAATGGATGGTGTTATAGTTAACAGTTAACAAAAAAAACTAACACGATCATATAGCTATCGATATCCAATTAACATGATTTTTTACAAGCATATAGTACTCGACGAGTTCCACACATTGAACGGTTTCGATTAGAGAAACGGGACCCGTGGTGGACCTCCACGGGCCAAACAACACCATCCAATCAAAACCCGAGAAGGAGACAATATTTTCTCATCTACTCACTCAGCCTACTCCATTGCCAATCCAATGTCAGTCCGTACGGCCTCCTATCCTATCTTCTCCTACACACTTATTTATACAATTTTTTAATACACATTTTTTCATAAAAAGTCAAAAAGTTAATCCTCACATCCATATTTTTTTCCTCAACTTTTTAGTCCAAAAAGACAAAAACTGCACTTATTTAGGACACCCCAAACAATTCCTAAGTCAAAGTCTGGACTAACTTATCAAATGACCATAATAGAGGTATTATGGTCAATATGTTGGATGTCTCATGTCTTGTCATATCCTATCCATTCCAATCCCTTTAAACAAACATCTGATTGGATAATATTTTGTTAATCCCTCCTTATAATCCTAACTCAATTCAAATATAGGATAGGATACGCACTCTAAAGGGATTCGTAGTCTTAGGACTATTAGTCATGGGAATGCTAATCCAACCTAATTTAGTCCACCCAAACAAACATGGCTTTAGGGTATTACAATGATGTCAAGGCTTTGGGTCAATATTGAAGCTTTGAATCCTTGGCAATGTTTGTTACAACTTTCAACTTCATGCTAGCACCAATTCTCTTTATGTTCTTATATATTTCTTGTAGTCTTTTAAAATGAATCCTTCTTGTGCTTGTGTCTCTTGGGCTTTGGATGCTTTATTCCAAAATTTGGAATTTTAAGTTTGTCCATTAATTACATGTGAAAATCACATTTCGATGAGTGTATTTAGCATTTAGTGGTACGTTTAGTAGGTGAAAAAATATTTAGATTTAAGCACTTGATGGAGTTATCAAACAACCCTTTAGTTCTTGTTTTCATTTCTTTATCCCCTAATAATGCTGTTTTGATTTCCTATTCATGTGTTCTGACATCAAGAAACCCCCTGCTCTCTTTTAGTTATAATGATCTTGGAGTAATCTATTTTTCTTTTATTTGCTGCTAGTGAGATACCTACATAGATGCACAACTTTGTATATATTAGTTGGTTGTGATGAGAGAGTAATGTTGGTTCCTCCCCCTCCTCTTCCCTTCTCTTGCAGCCAGGGAGAAAGCCATGGTTGTCAACTTAGAGTTTATAAAGGCTATAGTTACAGCTGAAGAAGTACTGTTGCTTGATCCTCTCCGGCAGGAGGTTCTTCCGTTTGTGGATCAGTTGAGGCAACAAATTCCTCATAAAAGCCTGTCCAAGATCCAAGGAGGGGGCCAAATGGATGTACAAGACAATGAAATGTGTTCGTCAACTGGGGGACAATGGCTACCTGTTCCTGAAGCTGTGGAAGGTCTGCAGTGTGAACTCCCATTTGAGTTTCAAGTTCTTGAGATTGCATTGGAAGTTGTTTGTACATATCTGGACTCCAGTGTGGCAGACCTTGAGAGAGATGCTTACCCTGTGTTGGATGAACTGGCAAGGAATGTTAGCACCAAAAATCTTGAGCACGTAAGGAGTTTGAAAAGCAATCTGACCCGTTTGCTTGCACGGGTACAAAAGGTAAACTTTATTTATTGCTTCTTCTATTAGATAACAGATTACTTATGTTACGGTGTTGGTGCACTTGCCGGTTATTTTTTCATCAACGTAGACATGGAAAATTTTGAAAATATTAATGTGAGAAAAGAGGAAAGGGCCTGCTCGATCAGTAGCCTCATTTTAATTGTTAACTTTGCATGAATTGGAATTTGTGGCATCATGCTAGAACCCTGCTGTTGCAGAATCCTACCTTTTTATTTTTTTATTTTTTTTATGCCATCCAAAATTTGAAGGCCAATCTTTTTGTAGGATGTTTTATTGAGTTACGTTTGCATCCCTAGTGTACCATGTCTTGTGTTAGAAATCAAGGTGTCTGAGAATGACTACAGAGATAAGAACTCCCTGCTAGTTGACATTTCTAGAGATAGAGACATTCATAATAAATTTTGAGGTCTGGGGATGTGAAAGATTCAAGACTGCTTAGAACTATGTACAACTTTTAGATGGAACATCAGTGTTAATTGCAGATCAGTGTAGCTAGCTGCTTGAGGATGATGTTTTGTTTTACATTGAAGATCGTGGTCCTGCTAGCTACTTAAACGTGTCCCTTTTTTCACAAAAAAAAAAAAATTCTTTGGACCCGGACATGCTTTGGACACTTGGGAGACACCAGTGTCCATCACTTAGACACCATGAAACTAATAAGTTTGAACAAAATATCCAGGGATACAATGATTAGAGAAAAATAGTGTAGATTTATAGGAATTAGTTTTATGTTGCATTTTTTTTATTCTCTGAATGATACATTCAAGCTATAAATTTTGTGAGTGCCCCCACATTGAGTCATGCATTTTTGAAAATTGTCCAGTCGGCACGTCTATGTCATGTCATGTGTTTGTGCTTCTTAGTTAACTGGAGAAGTCCAGTTGTTTACTGGTGGGTGTTGGCAGGTGCAGGCATGTGTACCTCTGTCCCCCACTCCCACCAGCGCTTAAAAGGTAAAAAAGAGAAGAAACAAAAAAATTTATTGGGAAAAAAAGTGCGAGTATTACCTTACTGAAGTACCCTTGATTCTGAGAAATAATGTTAAGTTCTCCTTTCTATCAACCCAGACTTGAATGAAAACATTGGTTAACTTTTTTTCACCAATACGGTTCTAAATTGGTTTTCGATTGGACCGGACAATGTCAGGTTGGTTACTAAAGTTACACCCCCTTCTATGGTTAGTTTTTCGGGCAAGTTACAAAAGCCTACTTTCCTTTGTGGTTTATGTCAATTGCTTCAAATTTCAACCTTAGCCAGAAGCTGTCTTATTCCAAGATTAAAACAATATTAATTATCAACCCTGAAAGCAACGATATCATCTACTCCCTCATGATAAGCTTTCTGTGTTTTGTCCCGTTATTGTAATTTAGTGGCATGTACCATAAGATGTGTCATACATTTCAGTGGCCTCTTATGGGGCCATTGCATGCAGGTGCAGTTTAATATACTGTAAACAATTCAATATTGAGTTGTGGATGGAAAAGAGTTCGGACATGGACTTCTTTTGCGTGGGATATACTCCGGTTTCCCACAAGTTGAATATATATATATGATCAGTTCAAGGGAGGGGAGGGGTTGGGGGAGGGATAGTTGGGGTTTGAACCCCAGTACACATGAGCTGGCTTCAAGGCCTGTACCACTGGGGCAAGCCACGGGCTCCACTAGTTGGATTTTCTCATCTATCAAATTGTGCAATAGATGCAGCTGAAGGTTTATGATTGAATTATGGAGGTGTAGTGGAAGTTTAGTTTCCCAATTTTAATTGAGTTCTTTTTGTGTCATTGTTAACAATTATGGTATTTTCTAGCAGAGTTGAAATTAAGTAAGCATCTCCTGTTAATGTTTGGTATCTCCTAGACTAAATAGGTCTTGACATTTATTACATGTTATTGATGGTATGCCTTTGCTTTTATTTTTTTTATTTAATATGAGACAGATGTTTGTTTGATGTTAGGTGCGCGATGAAATTGAACATCTTTTAGATGACAATGAAGACATGGCACATTTATACTTAACAAGGAAATGTATTCAGAATCAGCAATCTGAGGCTTTGTTAGGAGCTACAGCTTCAAATAGCATTGTCAGTGCTGGACCACATCTTCGCCGTTTTGGCTCTATCAGGAGTGCAAGTTTGGTGTCAAGCAACTATTTGGGTGACCATGATGTGGAAGACCTGGAGATGTTGCTCGAGGCTTATTTCATGCAGCTGGATGGGACTCGTAACAAGATACTCTCTGTAAGTATTATTCTTCATTTCTTCTTAACTGTAGCTTGGGCAGAATTCAAAGGAGACTAATTACAATAAACCATCTTAAGAAAGTTGTTCCTGCATTGAATTATCACTTACTTTTTTATATGCACGTTATATATCTGGATGGATATCAAGCTAATTTCGCAGGCTTAAAAGTATTTTGTGACGGTGACGTACTAACCTTTCTCAATTGTACCCCTCCAAAAAAAAGAGAACCTTTCTCAATGTTATAATGCCTGTGACTTTCGGTCATTGCAATACGGCCTGTTTGATAAAACTGAAAATTAAGTATTGAGAAATTTTAGTATTAAATTTCTGGTGATATATTTAAGTAATGAATTTTTAAAATTGCAAATTTTGAGATAAACATGTAGTTGAAAATGAAAACTACTTTTCACTAAGCTTAACCAACATTCAGCAAATTACTATTGCTTTTGTATACTTTGGTTCCCACTTTATGAAGTTTAGTTCCTTGTTTGAAAATCTTGGAGGCTGCTGTACTTTACCACTGGGATTCTTGCTGAAGAATACTGCTATCTGTAGAGAAGGGACTGATGAACTTTCCACTGGCATTCTTCCTAACTAGAGAACGTACTTCTATCTATAGAAAAGGGGTACTGTAAGCAAGTTCTCCATGCTACCATAATCTTTTAACGTTTTGCTAGACAAGACAATAATTACACTAGAGCCTTTTTACTATCATAGTTGTGGTGGGCCCACCTAGCCGTCAAAACAATTAGTAAGATATATGATAGATCCTAATTGCTTAACAATGGTTTGCGGAAAAAAGAATTGCGCTGTTAAGGAAAGAAATATAGCTAAATTTTGTTGATCAATTTTCTATCAAGTGCTTTAAACTTGGGATTTCAATTTTGAGAATTATTATTTAGGTGCTCCCTGAATATTTCTTGGAAAAGTACCTTAAGTGAAATTAAGGCTATGTTTGGATGACAGAGTTCAAGGAGAATTAATGGGGATCTCATTACGAGGACTTCATTGCTAGTAACAAAATTTGTGTGTCAATGCAATTGAAGGCTATGTTTGGATCTTGGTTTGGGGAAAAGAAGGAAATGGAAAATTTAGGTAAAGATAATGAAGTAAGATTTTTTTTTCCTTTGTTTTTTTTGGTTGGGTTTGGAAAATGAGAAGAAAATAAATGGTTCCTCTTTTTTATTCTTTATTTAGTCATCCATAAAAAATGAATATGTACAAGTAATTTCATTTCCCATACATTTTCTTTTCTCTTGAAAGCCTCAAGATTCCAACAGAGCATTGTAAGAAAGGGAAATAGAAAGAAAAGGTGAAAGAATTGATAGGATTCAAATTTCAAGTTATGTTTGGTTGAGTTGGGAAATAGAGAAAGAAAAGAGCCTAATGCTGTGTTTGGTTGGAGGATTTGGAGAGGGATTTGAAAAGGGAAAGGGAAAAGGTGTGTAAAACTATGTGAAATGTAGGTATATTTTATTCGCATTTCACCTAACTTTTCCCTTTCCCTTCCCCTTTCCAAATCCCTCCTCAAATCCCCAAACCAAACACAGTGTAAGTGAACCCAAAAGACAAAAGGTGGGATTGTATTTCTCTCACTTTCTTTTTCCGGTGTTTTTCATTATAACCAAACAAAAAGTGGGATTGCATTTCCTTTTTCCTTTCCATTTCTCTCATCGAATCCTCCAACCAAGCACAACCTTAATGTTTGGATCACTTGGGAATTCTCTATTTGAAAATAGTGAAATTCTAGATATTATTGTTCCGTCTTTCTTTTTCTGCTTGGGTAGTTTGAGAATGTGAACTTCCCATTGGGGGTGTGGAAATGAGATTCCCAATTATTGTGGTAATCTCATTCTGTTTTGGAAGGTAAACCTGCTGCTCACATTTCTTGTCTTGGACACACCCACACAGCGGAATGAATGAGACTTGGAATTAGATTCCCATTCCTCTTCTTCATTCTTGCCATAGCCTGAATATTTAAATCCATATTCTAAGATGTGAGGACATTCTGTTGTTGTATTAAGTTTTTAGAGTTTTGGTTATATATGAAGGCAAGGTTTTCTAGACTGGGGCATTTGGCATCTTGTGATCTTTATGACAATATGTTGGTATCTGGTATAATAATGCATTGATGTTCTTCTTTCTCCCAAAGAGATAATAATTACATTTATGAGAAAATTATTTTCTGTGATATTTGCAGGTCCGTGAGTATATTGATGACACAGAGGATTATGTCAATATCCAACTTGACAACCAGCGAAATGAACTTATTCAACTGCAGCTGGTATTGACCATTGCATCGTTTGCTATTGCTGTCGAGACTCTGATAGCTGGGATGTTTGGTATGAACATCCCTTGTCAATTGTACAAAATTAACGGGATATTCAACATCTTCGTTGGAGTCATTACTGCTGCCTGTGTATTACTTTTCCTGCTCATTCTAGGATATGCCAGATGGAAGAAACTGATTGGATCGTGAGCTCTATGTCTTTTAACATCGTAGATTTAGAAATTTCATGGGCTCATGTTGTTCCTTTTGCCATGAAAAGTCTTAAATTTCAAGCTGCAGTTTCAGGCCCCGTATTAAAGCGACTTTTTGTTTTTTTGGGTCTTGTGTTGTAATATTCTTGGATCATAGATCCCTTTATAATCTGCTATACAGATGTTTTATAATTAAAAGATATAGAAATTTCATGAGCTGAAAATTCTCTCTGTTTTTTTGGTTCGTTTAGGTATGTGTGAATATTCTAGTTTGGCTGGTATTAGGGTGCTCAACTTGGATGTAGGATAAAAATGTATACACATTTATATTACAATTATATTTATGGGTTCATGTTCGTAAGGAACTTTTGTTGACCAACTCTGGAATGATTTTCTGACTAAATTATTCAAATCCCATTAATGTACTGTACTGTTCATTCTGTGATTCATCTTGGGGTTTCAAGGCTTGACTTATATTGGGGGTGTTTGGTGGGGTGTTTTTTTAACCAACTTATGGCTTCTAGTCTTTAAAAAGTTATTTTGAACTGTTTGGTTATACTTATTTCAAACAGTTTCTGATTTTAACAATTTATTTTAAGTCAAAAAAGTTGATTTTGAGAAACTGCTCACTCTTTATTTCTGATTATCAGTTTCTGCTGTGGGCATGTTAATTCATGGTTATACTCTTAGATATTTTTAATTTTCTTAGAAATAGAAAAAGACACAAATGGACTGTAAAATATTATTATTATCTTTTATGAGAAATATAGACAAATAGTGAATAATAAAAAATAAAAGTTAATTGAAAAAGTTACTTCACAGCTTATTTAAAAGACACTATTCAACAACTTAAATTTATAATCCAACAGTTATACCAAATAAATTAATAGTTTCTGATTAAAATCATAATCTATAATCTGTTAAGTTATAATTTATAATCTGTCTTAACAGCTACACTAAACAGGACCTTGTAACTTTGTTTTGTTGCACGTTCACAATTTAAATTTTCAAATTCATTTAGGTTGTGTTTGAATCATAAATTTGAATAGGAATCTGATAAGAGAGGGAAAAAATATAAATAAGATGTGAATTCATTTTTTTTTTTTTCTCTCCCTCTTTTCAATTTTTTACCAAAATTGATGGTCCAAACACATTTGAGAGACTTTTTAACGGTTTCAACTCTTTTTTTTTTGGAACTTTATACTTTCTCTAAAGTAATGCACAAGAAAAAGTTGTTGCCAAACAAGGCGCAAGTTGTGCACTAACCAATTATGAGCAACTTGGAAGCTTTATGCAAAAGTTATTTCTTCATATACCATTAGAATTTTAATATAGAATGACAAATTTGAAAATATAGCTTACATTGAATTTAATTTTTTAAAGTGAAAGGATGCAAGGTTGCAACAGCATTCTGAATCGTAATTATGTATAATTTTTATGTATACAACACTTCTTTTCTTTTATTTATCTCTCAAAATATTAAATAAAAATACAAGTACTCCTCATTATAAGAAAGACAATAAGAAAGAGCTTTGTTCTATACAAGATTTGGTCATGTTATAATTTGATATAATATTGATAGACAGTCGAGAGTTAAATTTTTGTCAAATTACATTATAATTTGATTTTTAACAACTGTTATAACATGACGTTAGAATTGTTATAAGTTCAAAACCACACAATCATGTAATGATTTGTCCCTAAATAATAGAATTCACATGATCGCGTGGCTCGTAGCAATGTTGAATACTGTTCTAAGAACACACTACTTTTTTCAAAAAGAAAAAAAAAAAAGAGGTTAAAGATATAATAATATATGTTTGTTTGGGTGGACATGAGCTTGGAATTGGACTAATAGTCCAATAAAATTATTAATCCGATGTTTGGTTAAACAATTGAAGTGCAAACTAATTATTTTAAACTTGACTATTAGTTAACATAGGATACATAATCCAATAAATTCGTAATCCTAAGACTATTAGTTATAGAAATGCTAATCCAGTCCGCCTAAAAAATGGAGATAATGTATTTTGAGTTTCTCAATCCTGTCTGTCTCACCACTCACCAGCTGTGAGAATCCAACACACAGTTGCAAGTTGCAAAAGAAAACAAAACTCCAACCAGGCAAAGTGTACAATAAGACAAGTCCTTTTCTGAGCACTGTGTCAAATTTCTAGTATTCCACCCAAATGTGGCCTATTTAAAAATGTACCCCTTCAAAAAAAAAAAAAAAAAGACCCAAAAGTAGTTGTTTCATTTTATTTGGCTAAAATTAGATAGAACTACTTTGAAATTAAAAAAAAAAAAAATACAATCAGCTTGTTTGGTTATGGTTTTCAAAAAAATTTATTTTTTTATTTTTTGTATTTTAACGTTTTCAATGAATTTTTTTAATATTTTAAGCAAATTTTTAAAAAAATTTAGACACACCTAACATAAATACACTAAAAATATAATATTTGTGAAAAAAATATTTTAAAAATACACTAAATACCAAAAAATACAAAAATAAAAAATAAAAAATTTAGTACAATTTTCATATTTTTGTGTATTTATTAATTTTTTAAAAAATTTTTTACAAATATTTTAGGAAAAATTACACTAATAGTCCTCATAGTTTAGGGCTTTTGTCATTTTGGTCCATAACATTTCAATTGTGACACATTTGACTCTGAATTTTGAGTCTTGTTTCAAATAAGGACAATTGAAGATATCATTAGATTTTTCAAGGGTAAAATTATCAATTTGATAAAATATAAACTAATTTGACAAAAATAAATGTCAAACAAATATTTTTGAATTTTTAAAAATTATTTCTATCTACTAAAAATAAAATTATATAAAATTGATAAATCTTTTAGACATTTATTTATTTTTTTTACCAAATTAATTTTTATTATGTGTTTGGATGATGATCATGTAAAATTAAGTTTTAAAAATTAATCACGTAATTTTTATTAATGTTTATCAATTTTACATAATTTTATCATTGGTGAATAAAAATAATTTTTAAAAAATTAAAAATATTTTTTTGACATTTATTTTTATCAAATTAGTTTATATATTTATTAAATTGACGATTTTGCCCTTAAAAATAAACAATGGTATTTTCAATTATCCTTATTTGGTACAAAATTCAAAATTCATGGTCAAATATGTCACAATTGAAAAGTCAGGGACCAAAGTGACACGAGTTTCAAACTATAAGAACTGTTAGTGTAATTCTCCCAATATTTTACTATTTAGATACATCTAAGTAATTTGCATCTAAAAAGGTAAAAAAATTATTTAAATTTTAAAAATATTCACTAAAAATCAAAAATATGAAAAATAAAAAATTCAATTTTCATAAAGCTGAAACATTACACACTTAATAAGTTTTATAATTTTGACATAATTATATTAAGTTTATTTGTGATTTTAATTCACATAATATTTAATTCATTTTTATTAATAATTTGTTAATTATATGGATGAAAAAATATTATCATCTTTTTTACACAAAACGTATATTTTAGGTTATTTATTTTTATATTTTCACATCTACATTAGTTTTGGTTCATTCAATCTTATTAAAAAAAAAGTCAGTGTGTAATTATGTTAAAACGGTAGGATTACTGTTTTTTTTTTTTTTTTCAAACCTTAGAGAAGATTAGTGCAATTTACCCAATTAAATAACCAACTTTTTTTTTGGACTTATCTTTGTCTTTTTAAAAATTCAAGATAATTTTTTAAAAGCTTCTAAGTCTGTATCGACTAGACGATTCTAAAAATAAAAAAAAAGAATAATGCTTGAGACCACCTTTTGGGGGTCACCCCCTCACCCCCCTTTGCTACGTGGCGGGTGGTGATTGGAGGAGCAAGAAAAAAAAGAAAAAGAAAAAGAAAATGTAACTAATGAGAGAGAGAGGGGGTTAAAGGGGATGGGGGAAAAGGGGGATGAATCATTGTTGAAAAAAAAAAAAGATTTTGTAAAGAGTTTTGGGAACATCATAAAAGAGTTGAGGGAGAGGTTTCTCAAATTAGTCCAAAACCAACTTTTTTTTTGACTTATTTTTGTCTTTTTAAAAATTCAAGATAATTTTTTAAAAGCTTGTAAGTCTGTATCGACTAGACGATTCTAAAAATAAAAAAAAAAGAATAATGCTTGAGACCCCCTTTTGGGGGTCACCCCCTCACCCCCCTTGTTACGTGGCGGGTGGTGATTGGAGGAGTAGGAAAAAAAAGAAAAAGAAAAAGAAAATGTAACCAATGAGAGAAAGAGGGGGTCAAAGGGGATGGGGGAAAAAGGGGGGATGAATCATTGTTGATTTTTTATATATTGGCAGATTATTGATTTGAATTTTTTAGCTTGATAGATTATGAATTTTTTATTTTTGGTAGATTATTTAATTTTTTTTATATATTGGCAGATTATTGATTTGAATTTTTTAACTTGACAGATGCTGCTGGACAGATTCTGGATTGGAGCGTATTGTTAGGTTTATGGGGCCCACTAAGGTCCCGTTTTAATGATCTGAATCGTTCAATGTGTAGAGCTCGTCTAGTACTTCATGCTTGCAAAAAATTATGTTGATCGGATATCATAGCCCCTTGATCGGAACACGTTTTTATTAACAATTTATTTTTAAAATTATATTTACTATTGACAAAAATGTGTTTCGATCAAGAGGGTATGATGTCCAATTAATATGATTTTTTTTTAGCATGAACTACTTGATAAGCTTTACACATTGAACAGTTTGGACATTGAAAAGAGACACGCGATGGGCTTCACAGGCCCACCACTACGTGCTAATCCATACAATAGACTAGAGATAAGCCTTCCCAAAAGTTAAAAAATCAAAAAGTTACTTAAAAAAACCAAAGAATGATACAAAAAAATTAAAGATTTTATTTTCTCTCTATTTTTTTTATACATTTTTTCGTGAAAAATTTTAAAAAATTATCCCAATCATACCATGTTTGGTTCCAAAAAATTGAGTTAACTTTTTAGTAAATTGAATTTTTTATTTTTTGTATTTTTGGTAAATTTTTTAATTTTTTAATATTTTAAGCAATTTTTTAATTTTTAGATACACCTAATCTAAATATGCTTAAAAAGTATAATATTTATGAAAAAAAAACTTAAATTTTTTTTCCAAATACAAAAAAATACAAAAATTTAATTATTTTTATATCTTGTTGTATTCAATGATTTTTTTTTAAAGGTTTTGAAAACTGAAAATCAAACTGATTTCACGTCATAAATTTTATCAATTAACAAAAATGGCTTATATGTCTTTTATAAACTTTTAAAATTTTTTTTTTTGGCAAGCATATGGTGTACAATATTTTCTTATAACTTAGAAAGTGAAAAATATTTAATAAACTGAAAGAGCTAATGATCTAAAATCTAAAATTTGAGAAAGTAAATAGTTTGTAGTTTTACCATTTAACCAAAATTATTTGTGAGGCTGTGGCCAACTGGTTATAAATAGAAATTTGGGGGCTTTTGACTTACTTTTCACTCTTTTGGGGCAAAATTACAAAATAGCAAAAGAAGTAAAAACATCATCGTTTTCGGTTTCAACTCATCCATCCAAACCAAAGCATTAAAACACGAGTCGTCAACCAGAGTGAGAGAGAGAGAGAGACAGAGAGAGAGAAGGGATTTCGAAGATCAAATCGAAACCCTAGGAGAGAGAAAGCAAGATTCGTTTTTTCGATCTTCTTTCTCTCTAAATCACATTGCATTCGAAGATCTTCCACCTTCTTCACTCCCAGAAAAAAGGTCAGAATTTATTCTCTGCGAATCTGTTGCTCGCTTTTCTTTAATCTGTTTATTTCTTGTAATTTTTCTTCTATTTGAAGTATTCTGTTTGGTTGCTGAGAAATGTGGGAGAGAATATGAAAATACAGTATAAATTTGTGAATCTTGGACTGTTGTATCGATATTTGGGACCTCAGAGAAGAAAAATGAAAAAATAAAATAAAAATAGAATACGTGTGATATGATTTAAAATCTTAGAGGGTAATTAGTGATGCTTTGGTTGAAATCACTTGCGAATCTGGAAATGTTTTATCTGTGATTACTTTCTTTCAAATTCAAGAATTGCTTTTTCTGGCCAACCCTATGCTTTGATTTTTAGAACGGAAATATCTCACATTGAACTCCTGTATCTGCCATAAAATATCACTATGCTTTGATTTTTAGAATGGAAATATCTTACATTGAACTCCTGTATCTGCCATAAAATATCTCTATTTCTTTACAATTTTTGAAAGTATGTGCCACCCATAAATGCCGTCTTGTCTGAATATTTTTTTTATTATTTTTGATAACCGGTGTCCGAGACAAACCTCCAGTAGCCCCTACTCGAACTTGAGACCTTAGATCTTATCCTCAAGTCTTTAAGGGTTTTGTTTAAATGAGATTTTGGTTGTAGTATATCTTGAAAATTGAGGATATCTGTTGTACCAATACATGTATGCCAATTTTTATTTTTTTCCTTCTTTTTTCTTTCTGTTGCTTTATGTTAGTTATTTGCTTCAACTTATTGGGCTTGTGAAGAAGGTTCAGTTTGTGTATTTAGATTAGTTTCTACTCCTGGATCAAAAATGCAAGTTGTTGGATTCTTGTTATTCTCTAGATGTTGTTTTCTTAAGTATCAACTTTCTTTAGATTAACTAATGGAGTTCATGTTGTTTTTATATTTGTCGTTGCTGATTTTTCCTTTTCCTTAAAATTTTTCCCTTATTATTTATTTTCAATTTGTACTATATTTTTTTGACACAGACTGCGTGTACTTGGGTCATGGCAAACGTCAAGGGGCCATCAAACATCAGAAATGCTTTTTTCAATGGAAAGCATTCTTTACTTCCGCCTAAAAGTCCATTTCCAAGTATTTCTCCATCATATATTGATTATGTACCTAGTCCTGCTATTGGACCAAAAAGTATTGCAAAGCCCAGAGAGATAAATCCACACCACCAACGTACTTCCTCTGAGAGCTTTCTGATGGAGGAGCAACCTTTGTGGCTGGATGAACTCCTTAATGAGCCAGAAACACCTATACATAAAGGGGGTCATAGGCGATCATCCAGTGACTCCTTTGCATATATAGATGTAGCTACTGCTTCTACTGTAGATTATTTAGCACATGATGAGTACAAATATAAAAATATGATTTCAGTACCAGCATGGGGATCACAAGAGTTTGAACATTACAGAGATGTGCGGCATGCTTCTTTTTACCCAGAGCCAAACTCTTTGGGAAAACTGAAGAATTGGACTAGGGATCCATCTTTGATTTCAATGGCACATTCAAGTGGCCTTCCTTCTGCTAGAGACAACGTCATCATTCAAAGCTCGGGATCATCATGTGTTCTGCAAGAAGTAGATGGGGTTCCATTTACAACCACTGAGAAGCAGGATCCTGTTGAATCTGGTCCACATGATCCAAAAGCCACTTCTGAAAAGAAAGATCCTTCTCATGCTAAGCTTTCTGCATCTGAAATGGATACAAAACGTGCTAAGCAGTATGTCCTATCCTTCATTTCAATACTTTGGTTTCTTAGCTTTCTTACTCTTATTCTGTGGTATCACCTTTAAAATTGCAAGGTTTGATGATGATCTTTATCCAAAGTTGTTCTATGGTTTATTTTCCAGTTTAAAATTGCAAGGTTTTATGCTTGTTCTGGTGCAGAGAAAGATCCGCCCCAGATTGAGAATCCTGTTCCCAGTCAGTAGAGTTCCCAATATTAGCAGGAACATAAATCAGCACGACTCTGTAATTTTGGTTATACATGACCAGGAAAGCTTGTTCAGTGATCAGTGTCAAATTAAAGAAATTGCATGCTCTTCCCTGGTGGGACAATAGGTCCTACGTTTGAGCAAAGTTCATTTGCTCTTGAACTGGAAATCAATGTGTATGAGTGTATGGGTTTTAAAGTGAAGTTGTTTGATATTAGTTCTTTCAATTAGTAATTCAGATGTGGTGGCTTTCGTTTGTTTGTTTGTTTGTTTGTTTGTTTTTTTTTTTTTTTTTTTTGTGTGTCGTTTATATGACTATACTATTGAATACATTAGGTAATTTGATATGAGAAGTCTGCAATCTTTAAAATGAGATTGGTGTTATCTGTAAAGACTATTAATTTGATATGTGAGTTGCTGCGGAATAAATATGAAATGCTGTTATGCAGGCAATTTGCTCAACGTTCACGGGTTCGGAAACTTCAATATATAGCTGAACTGGAAAGGAATGTGCAAGCTTTACAGGCATGTATTATTAGAAACTAGTAAAAAAATTTGAAACATTTTTTTTGGGGAAAGTTGCTGTAGTTTATCATAATGTGCTGATGTTAGTCCTTATATACAATTACAGGCTGAAGGATCTGAATTTTCTGCTGAGCTTGAATTTCTCAACCAGCAGAATCTTATTCTGACCATGGAGAACAAAGCCTTGAAGCAACGTTTAGAAAGTTTAGCCCAGGAGCAGCTGATAAAGTATTGTAAGTTTTCATACTTCTTGAAGTTTTTTGAATTGTATTTGCTTCTGTTGCTTGGAAGCCCCCAACTCAGGTATAATCAATCCTACAAGAATTATGGGAATATTGATAATGGATGCTGTTTGAGGGTAATTGTGAATCTGAATTCTTAGATGGTAATTGAAGATAAACTGTATTGGAATGAGCATAAAGGAATATTGAGCTAACTGTAAACTTCTAGTGGTTTTTGCCTATATGTCATTGAAGCAGGGGAAAATTTTTGTTGTAGCTTACATAATTTTTAAAACATTTCTTTTACGTTTACTGTAAGAAAACATTAAATTTCTGGTCGTTTTCTGCATGAATGCTCCTTGAACTGTTATAGGGTTGGGGAGGGGTGGGGGGATCAAAATCAGTTTCTGATTTCTGTGGAATTTGATAGAGCTTCTTTTATTTTTAGTTTTTTAGTTGCATTACATCATTACCATTTTTGGTTTCTTGTAGACCTTTATTCAATAAAAAATATGAAAACTGCTAACCCAATTGTTGCACTACTTAGCTTTAGGCTCATTAACATAGTAGGTGGATTATGCTTGTTTCAGCCCGTGCTTATTCTAGTTCACTTGTTCAGCTGGTTGTAGCCCAGGGTCTTCAATAACTTTAATACCTTGTTTCCTGGGTATGTTTGGATCGCTAACCTAAGTCTTGGGATCAGGAGACCTATTATTGAACTTATGCTTGGATAATTGTAGTAGCTGTGTTTGTTTGCATCCCTGTCAGCACAGCATAAGTGCTTGCTAAACAGAAAGAATCCTCTCTAGATTGGTGCACCATTGCATTACCTGGCTGCTTTTGATAAGTATTAGTTTTTTAAAATTAAGGTGAATGGTGGATTCTCTTTTCTTGAGAAAGTGACATCCTTCTGGATGCCCTTAGAAAGTTGGTGGACATATTTTCTCATTGGACAATGTAGAAGATGTTATGCTGAGGTGAGGAAATGATAATTGGACAATGGCAGCAAATATAAACAACCTTCATTTGAATCTGTCTTCTGGTGGACAGAATTATGGTGACAGTTGTGAATTGTTTCCTGGGTATGTTTGGATAGCTAACCTAAGTCTTGGGATCAGGAGACCTATTATTGAACTTATGCTTGGATAATTGTAGTAGCTGTGCTTGTTTGCATCCTTGTCAGCACAGCATAAGTGCTTGCTAAACAGAAAGATTTCTCTCTAGATTGTTGCACCATTGCATTACCTGGCTGCTTTTGATAAGTATTAGTTTTTTAAAATTAAGGTGAATGGTGGATTCTCTTTTCTTGAGAAAGTGACATCCTTCTGGATGCCCTTAGAAAGTTGGTGGACGTATTTTCTCATTGGATAATGTAGAAGATGTTATGCTGAGGTGAGGAAATGATAATTGGACAATGGCAGCAAATATAAACAACCTTCATTTGAATCTGTCTTCTGGTGGACAGAATTATAGTGACGGTTGTGAATTTTAGATAATCAAATTTATAGGCAATCATTTATGATAAAACTATTTCTTTGTTACAATTAGAACGGAAATTTTAGCTGGGTTGATCTACATGTTTGTTGTCATTTGTTTCATTAGTAGAATCCAACATATATATCTTCTGTTAGAATTTACCACTCACCTACTACCTCCACTATTTTTCTCCACACCTACCACCTCCACTATCACACACTCCACTACCATCTTCTCCTCTATATATAGGTATGTAATATACAGAATACAATAATCTTGTAATCAATCAGAATCAATCAATATTACATCAGTTTATTTTTACATCTTCCTTTATGATTGTTACTAGAGGTGGCATTGAGGTAGGTTATATATAGAAACTCACATGATTGATATGTATTGCTTCATTTTTTAAGAAAAATTGCTAGCAATTTTGCCATGTTATAATTTCTTTGTTGATAAATACACACATATAAGTGGTAGATAGGTTACATGCTTGAAAAGCTTTAATATGATTGGTATTGAAATCACTTGCATTACAAAATGTGCGTCTTTGGAGCTTAGTAGCATAGCTATAAACACAGGACATTGACTTGACATGACTTGATGCGACATGGATACATGAAATTGCAAACCTTTAAAAAAGAAGACGCATCCATGCTGAGGACACAATGCACAAGGCTCGCACTAAAGCAGGGTCTGGGAAGGGCAAGATGTACCCAGTCTTAACCCCCATTTTCGAGAACACATCAACGTCTAAATATAAGACAGTTATAATTTTGAACCATCTTACTTTTTATGATAACAATTGCATAAAATGTAAGTTGAAGCTTGGCAATTATCATATGGATAAATACATGTATGCTCTTTTTGTTTTGTTCACTTCACTTTCATTTATATTTACTTGTTCTATTATATGAGTGTTTATTGCATGCTTGACTTGTGGTGCCATCTGTACAAAGTGGAACTTTCTCAAACAAAGAAAAATGAATAGTAAAGGTTCGACACTACTGGGTGTGTTCTTTGTTTTTTCAAGTGTGTTGGATGCAGGACTGTGTGCTTCACAACTAGTGTGGACACATGAAGCATATGAAAGAATGAGCGCTGTGGGGTTAATATATCCTTAATTTGTATTTTTTTGCGAGCTGCAACACAGGGCAGCAGTAAATTCTTTCACATATTTTCATCCAGAAACTAAGACAATTGAAGGGTTTATGCAGTGGAGCATGAAGTATTGGAAAGAGAAATTGGAAGGCTGCGAGCCTTGTGTCAACAACAACAACAACTGTCTTCTAGTCATAGACGCAACAATTAGTAGAGACCATGATTCACAATTTGCAAACCTCTCTTTGAAGCACAGGGATACCAGTTCTGGCCGTGACCCACTTCACATTTGAACATATGATGTAGCTAGAGAGCTGTGACCCACCTTGACTTGACAAAAATTGCTGTCTCCCTTGTGCCGGTGATGTTTGACCCGAGCTCTTTCACTCTTGGTACCTTTCATCTAGCAGCTTTACTTGTTTTACATTTTGACTTTTGTTTCTGCTTTTCATTCTCTACTTGTATTTGCTCATTTAATTTAGTATGTGCACCTGGTAGTCATGCCACGAGCTTGACTCATCTGAGGTGGAAACTGAAAAGAATGATCGATGTTCTTCTCCACTGTATGTTCTACTGATTAAAATTCATAACTCTGTTCAAAATTTGCCCCCTTGCAAATTTATTGTCTCTTGGAATCCAATATAGTGCACAAATTTGTGGGGGAATTACTTGTAATGCATGCTGACGAGAATTGTTGTAAAATTTGTAATAAAAGCTATGCTTTCTCCAGGAATTTTTATTTATTTATTTATTTTATTTTATATGATGCATTTGGTTTATAGGTTGTCAATTAGCCTATTAGGCTCTGTTGGCTATGAGATCGTGTCATTTCAGTATTTATGCATGCCCTTGAAGCTATGTTTGGATGTAAGGAAAATAATAGAGAAAAAAAGAAAAGAAAAGAAGAGTTGAAAGAAGTTGAATTCCTTTCTTTTATTTGGTAGAAATAATTTTTGAGAAATGGAAGTTGGAGGTTGTGGCTCAGCATTGAACCTCTAGATTTAACATTCTTGTATCAAGCTAAAATTGTGAACAATTTGTTGGATCAATATGTGGAGAGGAGGTACATTAGATTAACTTCGACTTAGGTTAAATTAACCTTGGGTTGATTTAGTGTAGATAGGTGTGACTATAAGTTTTTACGCTGACTAGCAATCATCTGCCCTCCCTTTTTCAGGCTTGGGATTGACTGTAAAAGATAAAAAAGGCAGAGTTGCCTTTGGTTGGTTATTTATTTATTTATTTGATTTTTGGGGGTGTTGTTTAAGAAATGTATAAAATTTTAGCACGAGCACATATTGTACTGTTTGTGGCAGCCTCTATGATTTAGTGAATTTTAGGAATAGCTGTGTTTGGAACAATTTCCAAAGGTTGATTTTACCTCCACGTTCCAATATGATGTTTGGATAGAGCTTTTGAACTAATTTTTCACAACTCTGCAGAAAACTCTGTGTGAGTGCAATTTTCAATTTTTTTTTTAAAAAATTTGGCCTAACCGGTCGTCTCACCGGACGTCCTACCAGTTGACCGGAGTAGTGTAATTTTTTTTTTTTTTTTTGCAATTGACATTTTAATTTTCATATATTCGAAAAAAATATTTTTCGAATTTTTAAATTTTTTTATGTGTTTTAATAGAATTTTGAATTGTATGTTTGGTTATGAGTTGTAAATTTTTGTATCAAATATCAAATGTCACAACAAAAATTCCTCACTCAATTCAAAACTTTTTTGAAAATTCTTTTCAAAACTCTTTTACCAAACAAAATTTTCACACTCAAATCATAATTTCAAAACTTCAAAATTCAAAATACAACTCTTACTTTCAAATCATAGTTAGAAAGCTTTACCAAGTGCAACCTTAAGCTTTTATGGTGTGAGAAATCATAATGACGATAAAGTGCTTATGAAAAAATTTTTTTTTTTTTTTTTTGCAATTGACATTTTAATTTTCATATATTCGAAAAAAATATTTTCCGAATTTTTAAATTTTTTTTATGTGTTTTAATAGAATTTTGAGTTGTATGTTTGGTTATGAGTTGTAAGTTTTTGTATCAAATATCAAATGTCACAACAAAAATTCCTCACTTAATTCAAAACCTTTTTGAAAATTCTTTTCAAAACTCTTTTACCAAACAAAATTTTCATACTCAAATCATAATTTCAAAACTTCAAAATTCAAAATACAACTCTTACTCTCAAATCATCAAATCATAGTTAGAAAGTTTTACCAAGTGCAACCTTAAGCTTTTATGGTGTGAGAAATCATAATGAAGATAAAGTGCTTATGAAAAAATATTTATGAAACATATGTTTAATTTCTAGTTAAGAGAAAAATAATTAACCGTACGGGCATGATCTCAAGCAAACAAAACGTCAACAAACATTACAAGTAGAATGCCCGAGGCAGGCACTGTTTGGGAGCCTTGGGTAGTCATCTGGAGATGGCATGATACATTCATCACTATTGAAGGAAATTTTTCTTGGAAAAGCCCACCCTTCCCGGAAAGTGAAAATCCCCGGAATCTTTGTGTAATATAACCTCCGTGTGTACGTTTCTGTTGTTGCCTGATTGTAGTAACATGTCATTGTAGTACTGAATTCCATAGAACATCCCTGTAACATCTTAAAAAGAAAAAAAAGCGGTTGGGTTAGAAAATCAAGGAACATGTTAGTCAGTCTTCACTAGACTTGAAACTTTCTTACTTCACCAATGAATTTGCTATAACATTTGTACTTTGTGTTTTTGATTTTGCACTGTGGAAAATGTCTTGACAATGAACGTAGCTGTTGATTGTGTTTTACATTGCATTTGATATAAAAATACTGTGCTAGGGTTATGATGAAAGAAAGCAAGCTAAGTGGCTTTAGAAATCAGAAAGCCATTCTTTATGTTGTGTGCACTGCACTATTGGCTGAGGAGCTGCATTGGGTTGTTGCAACAAAGAATGGAAATACTCAAAAGGTATTACACAAGTAAAAATATTACTACTTTAAAACGAGTCAAAATAGGTTGTTCAAGTTAGTATAAGGATTTAAAGAGTTTTAAAATGCTTTCAAATTTGACTTATTTAATTTAAAAGAACTTATCACAAACTGAGATTGTAATTTTATTTTTTATAACACATTTGACCTTGTTGCGTCAAAATTAACAATTTGATTAGTTTCAAAATATGTTCAAACTTAATGAGGTAATAATGAATTGATTTTGAGAAGAGCTTTGTTTGTGTTACAGCTCTAGTCCTATCCTATTTCTTAGCATACAACTTGAAAGCTACGTTACACGAATTTTTTCTAAATGTGTAGCATTTCTGTTGAACGTTCAACAATTGAGTAAGCATATGATTTATTTGTCACACATATAGCTAGACATTCACCTAGCAACTATATTTAGCACTTGGAGTTAACTATACAACTATGCATAAAACACCCCAAATGAACCTCATGAATACAATTTTACCTTAATAAAAGAAGTATATTAAAAAACATGAATATTTTGTAACGTCCCTGTGTCGTTGGATGTGAAAATTAATGAAGAAGATATTTAAACGCGTACGTCTAAACCCAACACAACCGTACCCGATTTCATATAATATAGCTCAATACTACTTCAATGCATATGAAAAAAAGTAGCTGACAAAATGGGAACTTGACACCATGAATATGACGAAGAAGCATTGGGGATAAGAGAATTTATTTTACACATTTGAGACCAGGTTTGTTCAACTTAGCCTCCAATCAGGTTGCTCCATATGCGGAAACAAATGGTAGTTTAAGATTTGGGATATGTTAGTTGCCATAAGTAATTTTATATCAAATTGATACTACAATTGAATTGATTTGTAAAATTAAGTAAAAAATTAAAAGAACAAAACAAACAGAATCAAGTGTCCATCAAACATGAAATTCTCAAAATACGTAATAACTAGATTTGAATAATCACTTGAATCTTAATTTCATATTTGGCTTGAAGCTGTAACACTAAATAGGGCACACAAGATATACACATGATGAAAGCTAGATTGACTAGCATGTGCCAACTACTCTCATATATATATATATCAAAAATGCTTGGTAGCTCAAATTTGTGTGGTCCGAATAGTTTGAATGTGTCAAAATGGCATTGTTTTACTCCAACAACGACGTCGTTTTTGTCGTTTTGAGACATTCGAGTCATTCGGACCATGAAAATTCAAGTTACCAAGCATTATTGTATATATATATATATATTTGCAAGAAAATTGCACAAATATGGAGGCGTATAATTTTGAGTTGCACCCCCTTATTTTTGAGTTACACTCCACCTCACAAAAAGTTACACCTCCTATATTTTGTTAATTTTTTTTTTTTTTTCCAAATTGTAATTTCCCTTTTTATTAATAAAATTAAATTTAAATTAAAGGAATCAATATTATTCCATAATTCACCCAAAGAGAAAAAAGAGAAAATCAATGACCAGACTAGACCAATGAAAGTTGGGTTTATATTCTTTGAATTTCTTGGTGCGTAATTAAGATATTTATGGAGAATATCTACATAATTGTTGTAAAGAATGTGAGAAATTTTTAGAGTATGTTCTAGAAATCTCCCCACCATTAGATGGGTGATACATTATGCAATCCTGACCGTTCTTTGTAATTTGATGCCAATATAAAAAATGGTCTCATTTGGCCACCACACTAATCATCCAAACTCTCGGCATCTTATTCACCAAATTAATGTCTTAGATTATTACTGTCTTACTCAAAAATGATATGTACTGATAAAAAAAGATGTGTGTCAACTTGAGATTGTAATAATATTTTAAGGCTGAGCTTGGAATTTCATAAGAAGTTCCATGCAAAGCGATCCAATCATTTTTAGAGATTTTTTAAGGATAAATAAGTGAGATCTATTGATATTAAATATATATATATATATATAGTTTTTATATCATATTCATTTAAATTGTAAAAGTGTTGAATAATTTACTATAACAGTCCAAATAGGCCAAACAAAAAAATCACCTTGAATAATTTTTTTGTTGTTTTGGAAATTACCCAACTTGCCCAACAACAATGAAAACTAGACTCTCAAAATGATAGTCAAATAAATCTCGGAAAGGGATATCCATCCACTAGAAAAATATTCCCACCTCTTCTTTTGTAAATTGATGACAAGTTATTTTTCTTTCTATCAACTCATAAGTAGTCAATTACGCCTTTATTTTTTAAGAACATAAGAACATGGGAGGGGCATTTCTTTCAAAGTAGTATTGTGTCTTTTTACAATTTTTTTTCTTAAGGCTATGTTTGTTTAGTTGTAAAACATTTTACCAAGAAAAATATATTTTATATAAAAAAATTTACAAGAAAAAAAAAATTTTCACTCATTTTGTAATGTCGAGTTGAAGTCCCACAAAAGCGGAAAACCCGTAGAATAGGTTCTATGCCATTACATGTTGAATTACGAATTTTTTTTTTTAAGAACATAAGAACATGGGAGGGGCATTTCTTTCAAAGTAGTATTGTGTCTTTTTACAATTTTTTTTCTTAAGGCTATGTTTGTTTAGTTGTAAAACATTTTACCAAGAAAAATATATTTTATATAAAAAATTTTACAAGAAAAAATAAAATTTTCACTCATTTTGTAATGTCGAGTTGAAGTCCCACAAAAAGTACAAATGAACATAACAAACGTAAAGAGCAACTAAACCCCTGAACCCGTAGGTTAGGTTTTATGCCATTACGCGGTGTAACGCGGCCAAACCCGTAGATTAGGTTCTATGCCATTAGACCATCTCCAACGGTGAACCAAAATTGATATCAGATTTAAATTTTGATGAAAAATATACTTTTCCATGCTCCAACTGTTGTATCAAATGAATATCAAAATGAGAAATCAGCAAAAAAAGTATCAAACTGAGAACAAGTTCCGGATTTTACCAAATCACTGTTACTGACCGTTGAAAGAGATACATCGGTTGCCCGGCCGGTTGCCCGGCCGGTTGACCAACCGGTCAACCGGTTCCCTTTGAAATAAGTAGGTTCAAACCGGTAAAAAAAGGTTCAAAAAGGTAAAAAAAAAAAAAAAAAAAAAATTGCCCAAACCGGTCGATCGGTTGGTCAACCGGCCGGTCGACCACCTCCCCAATTTTGCTTTGATGCTCACCGTTGGAGCGCCTCGTATCAAATTGAAAAAATCGTCATTTTTTTCATCAGATTTGATGAAAAAAGAAGTTAAGCGTTGGAGATGCTCTTCCATGTTGAATTACGAATTTTTGTTTCGCAGGTCATCTTACTGCTAATATTGTAAAATGATTTACATGAAAATTATTTTATTGAGCCTTTGTGCTACCAAACACTAAAAAATACAAAAAAAAAATATTTTTGTTAAAAATATTTTCCGACCAAACAAACAAACCTAAAAATAAAATGTTGAACACGAGAGTGCTTTATGAAATATGATTCATACTGGATACAAGATTTTCTCTATCATATTAAAAACAACAATGCAAATACAATTACAACTAAATTTAGCAATTCATGTTTTGACCAATTTGAATTTTTTTGTTTGTTTGTTTGTTTGTTAATATTACAAATTTCATTGATGTTGCAAGTCATAAGCATTATACAAACATTAATTCTTATAATTTCAAGAATCGAGCAAGGTTACTCATGCATGTCTGCGCCTCTTGAAATTGTCCTCATTATATGACTCCCAATATTTATGATCAAGGATGCTAATATCATCAAGTTCTGCAATGGCAAGCAAGTACTGGGTAAGCTTCACAAGCTCCTGATCACTATCTCGATTCGCATGGGCCTTCTTAAATGGCCTTATTGTTAACCCGTTCTGTGGGTTCATTACGAAATTTCTTCCGAGATCATCAAACATAATTGTGTTCTTGGAATTATAAAACTGCAAATGTATCAAGAAACCATGAATCAATCTAGTTATGGCCACACACACACACCAAAAAAAATAAGGGTTCAGCATGACAAGAAAAATTAAGATTATGAAAAATCAGCACTTCAACTTCTTACTATTAATTACACAACTTTTTCAAGTGCAACCACTTCAATTTTATTTGATCAGGTCCCAGTTTTAAAGACCTCAATTTGGAATCATTACTGACCCTTTCGCAATCGGGTTTGGTCAAAATACAATTGGATTGATGGGTTGATGGGTTCGTATGATGATAAGGACACATGTCCACGTAATGGGCAAAAAAATCACGGACCAAGTGGAAATTAGGCTATTTAATGGTGGCATTGGTGTGATACTGAACAAAGATCCTCCAATAGTAAAGATAACCTTAGACTTGGAGAGCAAGATAGAGTTCTGTGTCTTTCCATGAATGACATAAAGATTCAATTTTCACATTCTAATCAAAAAAATCTTTGAAATAGAATGCATAAAATAAGCAACATATCAAGGCAAATAATAATCACAAACCTCTGGAAATTGAGCCCAAATTAAGCCTAGTGGTTTGCAGTTGTAGACTCCAGAATCCGACTTAACTGTGATCATTGCTAAATGATCTAGCAGAGCTGTAATTTTGTAGTTAGGATTGCTGAGGACCCCAAGTTGTCCCATTTTTAATTCAACCCACTTCATTCTGCAAAAGGAAAACAAATAAAAGGTAGAAAACACATTGAGAAATATTCATGAAGAATTCTAACAGACAATAAGAAAACATTTATTGACAGTTATTTCCAAAAAAAAACAAGGGCAAACTTTACTTTACCTTCTGTGGTTTGAGTCATGTGCAATTTATCCCCCCTACCATCTAGAAATGACCACATAATCCTCATGTGGTTTGTGAACTGAAGTGCACCGTTCAACATTCCGTCCAACTTAATGGCAAATGTGAAACATGTGGCAGACATAAAGGGGTTATATTCTCATTTTCAAATTTTAAGGTAACAAATCGCACATGGAATAAAGCACAGAGGGTTAAGGTGTACGTTGCCTTCCAAACAAATGACGAAAATATCCGTAATTCACTTTTAAATTACTTATATACAGGGATATTTTAGTCTTTTTTATTATATTGTTGACGGGCCTAACAGTACATTTCAGTTCACAAATCACGTGAGAGTTATGTGGTCATTTCCAAACGTTATGGGGATAAACCGCACATGATTCAAACCACAAGGGTAAAGTGCCCTAAAAACAATAAGCCCATAGATTCCAAAGGCTCTTATGATAAAAATTCCATAGACAATTTTTTTTAATCATAAAAAGTGGATTGAAGTTGCAGAGCACCAATCATTTTAACCAAAGCTGACGGACACATGCTCTTCCTATGATATCTTTGGCAGTTAAAATAAGAAAGTAAGAACAGAAGAAAACAGACCCGGTAGCAGACCAGATAATTATATCATACTCTGCATAAGCTGCTGTGAGGAACTCATGCAGATCTACACACAAAATATTTAATTTCAGGTATCAGCAGAAAGAAGAAAAAAAATTGAAAAAAAGGTTTATGATTTCCTTGAAACAAACTAGTAAACTACTTACAAGGCCGCATAAGTTCAAGCGGGTTCTCCGCTGTAGACCGGTGATCAAATAGGGTATAATCGATATCCAAAACCAGCAGCTTTTTCCCTTTACGGCATGGATTCCGGAGTGCAATCTACAATTAAACACCCAACCCAAAAAACATCAAATATCAAACCACAGCAAGAATTTGACAATCAGTTCCAAAGTACTGTAGACAATTAGGACAATTGCAACTGTTACATAGTATATACTTAATGATATAGGATAGCTTTGAATGCTTAAAGTATGGAAGCCTTATGAGTGGTTTTATGTTGGGAAAAAAATATAGAACTTTTGTATCTAGGTTTGAATAACAGAAAAAGGGAGCAGCGTTCATACACGAAGAAGTAGAATAAACTTGATTTCCAAACTTTTAGCTTGCATGATTTTCTGAGAAATTGAGGTTAAAGGCCTAGACTAGACAAAAACCAAATTTTGAATTAAATAAAAAATCCCAGGGTAAGAAAAAAGGTTAGGGTTCATTACATCTCAATATGAACGAGTTTGAGGGCTGAATTTAAGCTGTTCAGGGGCAGTGACTAGTAACCCGAGAACAGTAACTTTGCTTTTCCGTGCAGGCTTTTGAATGTTAGGATTTAAGTCGTATGTTGGGATTGATTGGGATGGCTAAGGGATTATCTTAGGGCCAAAAAAAGGACCTTTTAAGATCTTGTTCATAATATGGAGTGTTAAAAATCACCAAAAAGAAAGAACAGAGGACGAGGAGAAAACTAATCGTTTACCCTCACATGGGTTAAACATGTCTCAAACAAATCACAAACACAAATTCAACAAACTCAATATTCCATAAAGAAAATTACATAGATTTATATAGACTAGTGTCTAATCTTACTCCAACTACAACTAGGACTTTAAAATAGGAAATCTTGACCTGTATTGTGACTCAAAGCCTTCACTTTAGGCCCCCAAGGCCTAATATACTTATTTGGCAACGCAATATATGTGACATAAAGCATTATTTCCAGAGATAATTTGAATTGAAAATGCAAATAAAAATTAAAGCGGAAAAAAACAATGCTCTGCCATTTAAGAACAAATATCCAAAATAACTTAAAATCTATAAAGTAACGAGTATTTAATAAACCTTGTCATTTAAACGTGTATTTAATCTATTAGGGAATAATTAACGAGTATTTAATTTAAAAATTAGGAAGCATGAACCTAACACAAATGAATAATAAACCTCGTCATTTAAACAAGGGAAATGTGGAGATTCTACAGTGGAACAATAAATTTTTAGGCCTGAGATATCATCAACAATGAATAAAAATTCTTCAAATCTCTCAAATAAATAAAGCTGTAAAAGCCTCTATATTTTGTATCAATGAAACAATCGATTTGCTTGTTTTCCAAATGAGAATGGGATTACTGACCTTGTATTGATCTATTCGTCTTCTCAATTTCTGCCTATTGGCTTCGTTATCTTTAATGTCAACAACTTCATCATGCCCCAGATCAAAATCATCAATGATCTCCGAAGAGTCCACTTCATCCACAAGTATTTCGTCTTCAACAGTGCTGCAGTTTATTTCAATTTGAAATAAAAATACATAAACCACATAAACAGATCACATGTTCCTAGGCCACCCTCGCTCAGAAGCGGAAACACTAAAAAGTGTGTGTGTGTATGCAACCGTGCCAGGAGTGCAGACCAAGTGTGAAATTTTGCACCTTGGTGCTCCATCCAACTCCTAACAGGCTTTGTATGCAATTTAGGAAAAAACTGTTAGTTCTTTCTTTGGCTCAATGAATTAAGCTATTTCCTAGGCGCAGTGAAGTAAAAGAAGCGTAGAGCTCAAACATGAATAAAAGTGTTGCAAAATGAAGTAATTGAGATTACCAATAGTCAAACGTGACACACAGAGCAAACAAATTGGAATGGAAAGAAAATTGGAATAGAAATAACAAGCTAGAACTAAGTGTAGACAAGCTAAGTTGAGAATTAAAATCAAAAGAGTTTTGATATGTTGGTGGTAGGTTTGGGCAAGCATCCATTTGACCTGTCAAAACCGAATGGCCCAAACTGATCTGCCACAAAATGGGCAGTTACGGTGGTCTGAACGGACAGATGCGAATTGATTTTTCCCAATCCCACCTATATTCGGATGGATGGTGGATGAAAGGCCATCCGATCCGCGAGCACCCATTGTTTGGTAGACGTGTGGTGATAAACTTTTACTCAAGAATTTGAATGGCGATGCATTTATAATTTTGCCTTTTCATTTATTTTAAAACATGACAATTTGTTTATTATTATTTTTGTTAGCATTTTAAAAATGATGCTATGCTTTATGCTTTGTGTGTTAAAAAATTGCATTTTATTAAGGGAGGCTTACGTATAAGTCCTAATAAGCGAATTTATTGTCTAATAGATTCTATAATAATTAATGACATTTTCCATCAAATTTATAATTTATAATTATATTTTTAATTATATAATATTAATTATGACGTCACGGTTCTACCGCTTCGACCCGACGGTTGAACCAGTGACCCATCCACCCGGTCCATTTTCCGGTTCGCTCACCGGTCCGGTTTTCAAAACATTGTAATAGATTCTATAATAATTAATGACATTTTCCATCAAACACTATTACAAAAGTCACTAATTGTTAATTTTTAGCGATAGTTTGAAAATTGTCATAAAAAAAGTCACTAATTTTCAACTTTTAGTGACAGTTTGAAAAATTTGTCACATAAAATATCACTAATTGTAAGTTTTAGCTACAATTTATAAAAAACATGACCAAAAAAATCATTAATTGTCAATTTTTAGCGACATGCAAAAAATCGTTACAAAAAATTATTTTTAGTAACGATTTTACTAGGACTTATTTTCAATAGGATTTCATGGGACTTAAGTCTAACTATTAGGACCTATTGGTAGTTTATCCTTTTATTAACTAATAATTATAACTATTTATGAAAGTTGAAAGTTGAAAGTTGAAAACTTTATTTTCATTACAAAAAATGAAGAAACAAAAATATTGTACTCAAATAGGACTCCAAACAATAAAGAACTACTATAAAATAGTCTGAAAAAAGGTGCAAAATTGTAAATTCCAAACTGCTAAATCGATCATCATCCACTTGCCAACTCACACGATCCATGTCCACTAACTAAGCAGATGGATGAGGATTTATTTTTCTCAATCCGCCTAAGTTCGGATGGATGACGGATGGGAGGCCACCCGGTCGAACTCAATGGTGCGGAACCCCTCCAAAGTCTTCACATTGGCTATTTATAAAGCTTCGGCATGGCGGTTGCAACCATGTTTCTTCATGAGCAGCACCCCTCCCATGTCTCCATGCCCCACATTTAGGGCTTCATCGCCCTCTAAAGTTTTTTTCTTCCATTGTCAAGTGCCACATGTCCCACTATTTTGTTTCATCTACTCCACTATGTTGCTGGTTTAACAAGAAGCCCACAGGGTTATGCAAGACAACACGGACATGCTAATACATAAATTTTCAAAAACTATAGGACATGAATAGTGAGGTACACACAAAATGCATGGTTTTATATATTTACTATACTATATATCATATATATGAATATTTCATTAAAAAATAATAAAAAATATAACATAATACTAATTTATGAAGTCTAAAGAAAAAAGGGTTAATAGGTATATATCTAAATAACTTTTATTATTGTATCCTCTTAAGTTATTTTGTTCAAACTTGTAATATGCTTCAGGTGTGCATAAGCATGGACATATGTTATTTGAAGCATGAAAAAATTTTAAAAAATAATATGACGTATTTGAATGTGTGTCCAACACAGGTTGGGAAGTGTCTTTTGAGTGTCGATGTTGGACATGGACTTGCACCTTCTTAGAAGTATCTTTGCTTCTTAGATCATGACCAGTTGATTATGTATCTTGTAGCCACATGCTCCACATCAAGACCCATGTTCTCTTTTATGACTCCTATCCGTGACACATGTCCCATGCATAACTAACTCGTTGATCTTGTGAACTTTTCTCCCAACAAGAAGATAAATTAATCTTTTAGTATACATATAAAAAGCTTCCCTAATTTCCAAGGCCAAACATTTGTTGCTCACTCCAGCACCCTACACGTATCCACCATGCAAACATAAACAACTTTTTTCATAGAAACATGGCCACATCTCTTTAGTTGCCACTCTAGGGTATAAAGAACTGCTTATCAATTGGCCTGATGGATGCACATCTAATAGCTAATTTTTACAAGACACAACAAACTTTCTTAAACACAAGCTATGTATACACACCTCCAAGTATATCTTTAAACCTTCAACCAAAAGCAACAACAACATGCATGCCATGGATGTCCATCCAAAAGGTACAAGTGTTTGCAATGTCCCTTTGAATTAAAGAAAATTGAACATCTTGTCCTTCACATATGCATTAGCTTTCTGATTTTTAAGCAAGTGAATAAATAAAATTGTGAAGTGTTGTTGAATCAACTCAGACATGAACCATACCAGCTTGATATCCCTGAGTAGTAAGTACATAACCATACTCGGAGGAGGAGAGTACTGAACATTAACTAAATGCTCAATTGCCCCCAAATCTGCAATGAGTCACGGGGTCTAGTTTCTCTTATTAAAGTATGGTTCCACCTTTTTCTTTTTTCCTTTTTGGATTGGCAACATAAAGTAATTTATTTAAGCAAAAAGGAAATACGAAAAGAGGACACGCAGTCCTTTACAATGTGAACCTCCATCTTGTTAACTAAAACAAGATAACAACTATACATCACAAATTGCTCTCCAATCCCTAGAAATAAAATAAAAAAAGAAAGAGTGGAACACCTTTAAAGTTTGGATACAAAAATACACCTAAAATGACACCAAACGACACTTTGTCCCGTAATGAATCCACCTCCTCAAACTTGTCCTCAAATATCCTTCCACTTTCCAACTAAATGCCCCAAAGATTGTGAAGACAATGTACATCCACAGCACTTTTGCTCTTTTCTTGTTACCAAATCCCGGAAAATCAATTAGAAGCATATGAGCACAAGCCCTAGGGCTCACCCAATGAGATTCGGCCAAAATAAATAACCACTACAACAGATTCAAAGCCACGGGGAAATGCAAGAAAGGATGGTTCAAAGATTCCACACTCCTCCTACACATGATGCACCATTGAAGACAGATATAGAGATTAGGCCTCCTAACTTGAAAGGTATCGTTAGTCATAATCCTTCCATGAGCTAAGGACCACATAAAAATCTTCACTTTGAGGGGCACAAACGCTTCCAAATTCTTTTTTTAAAAGGAAAAGAAAGAAATTAGGTTCATCAATGATTTTCTCAACCAAAAAAAAAAAAAAAAAAAGGCTTGCATGAAAAGGTACCAGATGAGTGAATGAACCAAACTCTTATATCACACATGTTTGGAGACAAAGATCACCATCAAGCAAAGACAACAAAGAAGCCCATTCAAGATTTCGCCCAAGTTAAGAACCCTAATAAAGTCTAAATTCCAAGAAATCAATGCCACACTAGAAGAGGCTAAAGAAGCAATGGAAGCAAAATGAGACATGGCCACCCCGCACAACCTCGGGAATGACATTCAAAAGAAGTGAACAAACTAATAGGCCTAAAGTCTCTAATTTTCAATGAATTTTCCTTCTTAGGAATCAACAAATAAATAATGCATTTGTACACAAATTCACTATTCCCTTCTCATGAAATTCCTCAAAAAAACTCTCTCACATCTCAACAATTTTGAAAGACCGCCATGGAGAAGCCATTCCTTCCAAGAGCTTTGTCTTCCACAATAAAAAAAGCCTCTCTGATCTCCACCTCATCAAATAGTGCCTCTAACCATCTTGCATCAGAATCAATAGGCCATCAATCTCTAGCCCTTCAATCCCCCCATTTGAGTAAAGATTTGAATAATAATTGAAAATCTCTTCAACAATTTGATCCTTATTCACAACCATTCCTTGACTCACCTCTAGTCTATTAATGAACTTCTTTTCTTTTTCCCTTTAGCCACCATATGAAATAACTTGGAATTGATATCCCCTTCCTTGGCCCATCTTATTTTGGCCTTTTGCGCCCAAAAAATTTGTTCCTCAAAAACCATCTCTTCAAACTTTTCTTTCAACTCAATCCTTTCTTTTCTCAAATATCCACCCAAACCATGCCTCGCTTCAATGTCATCCATCTCCTCAATTATTCAGATAATCTTTTCTTTTTCTCAGTTAGATCACCAAAAACCTCTTTATTCCACACCTTTAATTTTTCTTTAATCATTTGCAATTTTTCCATGAACCTAAAACCCTCACACCCCTAGCACCTACGACTGTTCTGCCAAATTTCAAAATTATTCTTGAACGAATGATGCTCTAACCACGTATTTTCAAACTTGAAAGGATATGGTTCCCATTTGAACGGACAACTCTCAATCACTATTGGACAATGATAAAAAATAGTCTTGGAAGCACCTCCTGTCTTATGCCTGGGAAACCTATAAAAAAACAAGAAGCAATCTAACCTACTACATACAGACTGCCATTTCCTAAAGATTTGACCAAGTGAATCTAGGAGCATTAAGCAAAGGAGGATCAACCAAACTACACTCTAATGAAAGGATCAAAATCCCTCTAGTTACAAAAATCCCATTTAAGTTTTTTTGAAAGAAATCTAAACACCAGTTGGGAGAGCACAATCCATATAAGCCAATGAGCTCTATCCAACATTCCTTTCTCCTTCCAGAATTGTTAGGACCATATATCCCAGTTAACCACCGTTCCCTATTGTCAACATTTCCAAATCTAATTGATAATGAATATTTATATTCCCCCAATAGAACCTCACACTCTATGACAACTCTCTCATCCCATAAAATCGATATACCTTATGATATACCATACGAAGGAAAAATAGCCCATTTCCTCAACCTAGACCCTCAAATGCTTTTAATAAAAGCGTATCACACTCCTCAATTTTGACTCTTGAAACATAACAATATCTGGTTGTTGCACTCTCAAGAATCCTTTATCACCCCCCTCTTTTTCTTAGACCGCAGTCCTCTAACATTCTAGCTTATAACCCCTAACTTCCTTTTGATGTCCCTCATAGTTGATACCACTTGCTAAATTTTTTTAACTTTACTACCAATATGTTTCTAATACCCTTTCCCCTGGTTGCCAATCCCTTCCCATTGCTTGTCTTACCATTCCCTCTCACTCTCACCAAAGCCAATGCTATTGTCTTAAGCAAATGCTTGAAATGCAGCACACCCTCATCCTCCAAGGTAAAAGACACATATTTACACATCTCTCTCAGCCACCTATCTATGTCATCATCACGCTCTCTATAAACACTACTTCCTTCAATTCTATGGATATTAGAAACTCCTTGAGAGTTATCATTCACCTGGCCCACCATATTAATATCAAAGCACCACGTTGAAAGTCACTAAATGGTTCACTTTCTGTTGGTAGTCGAAACGCTAATCCCTCATTAAAATCCACTCTCCCATGTTGTGGACTAGAACAACAAATAACAAAACTGACAACAAACATAGCAGGAACCTGAAACCCATCCCCATAATTATAAAATTTTGAAAAACAGTTTGCATGCCTCAAAATTGAAGAACCATTAATTGTTCTTGGTACCTTGCTCAAAGGAATTCACTACCTTCTTAGAATAAACTAAATCCAATGCCTTCTCGCAGACTTTGTCCTCTGTGAATCCCTCATAAGCTAATGAGATCGAATCCTCGACTTGAAACAGAACATTAAGGTCATGCTCAAAATCCTCAACCTCCTCTTTAATCCTTTATGAGGAGGAGAAGTAACAACAATGGATGCAAAATAATTCCAAAATGACCTCTCTAGTGCACCTTTATTTTTAAGTTTCTTCTTTTCTCCCATCTTTAATCCTTGCTTAAGGGTTCCAACCCAAATTTGGTACTCTAACTTGTCTCAATGTTCTTCCACTAAATCCATCAAATTTTATAGTTAGATGGTTCTTTTTTTACCTTCTTGGGTGGATTCTAATTGCAATTTTTTTATAATGAACCACCTATGTAAATAAATCTTAAGAATAACATGGTTCCAAAATGTAGCCATAATTCAATTTACAGCTTCAAAACCATAATGATGTTGTGCTTTAACCTATGAAACAAGGACATGTGATGTTAGATATTGGATACCCAACAATGTGAGCCAATTTGCTTCAATGGGTTGTTAGAAAACTCACATCTCTTGTACTAACTACTTTAAGAGGCCATGCTTGATTGGAGATTTGGTAAAGGGGATTGGATTAGTAATCCGTGCACCCCACCTCGATTATGTTTGTTTGTAGAAAAATGGCATGAGATTAGCAATACCCCCAATGGTAGCATTCCCATGGGGGGTTGGGATTGCTAATCCAATCCTATGAGTTGGAAAAATTCTATTTCCACATACCTACTTACCTCAGTACACACACTCAATGAAACATTATTCTAATGACAATTATACCATAAAATAAAATGACTATAATGGATATCAAAACACACTCTTAATATTGTATTCAAATTTTTCTCTATACACATCTTTTTTAAACAAAAAAATAGAAAAATCTCATTGCACATTTTTTAAGTAAAAAAATAAAAATAAAAATAAAATTAAACCCTAATTTATTCATTATTTCTCACTTGCTCACAAAAACAATACTCTCAAAACTCAAAACTCAATACTCACTTGCTATAGCTGCTATTTACAAGGGCGTGAATTATGGGTCTAATGGCAATGTACCTAAGAACAATTTCAAGAACCATGGTGATGGTGGTAATGCTGCCATTGATGAGTTCATGAATTACAAAGAGAAATTGAATGTTGGTGACGATTCATTTCAATTGTACGTGAAGAATTCGAATTCAGGGACTGTGAAATTTAAGAGCTACGGACAATTGCTCAATGAAGGCACAGACAAGTTCAATGGGTATGGAAAAGGCGGGTCGGGTCAAGAAATTGGGTTCGAAACTTACGGAGTCAACAATACATTCACAAATTATGATAAGAAAAAGGGTGTCTTGTTTGCTAGATATCTCAATGAGAGCTTTGCTAGATCTTCAATGGCGAGCAGTGCCAAATTCATAAATAGATGGGTGGAGCTGGGTAAATTTTTCAGGTGTGTGGAATAGGAAATCGAAATGGGTAAAGGTGTGTGGAATAAGGGTTTAGGTAGTGTGTGCACAAGGATATGAGTTAGGGTATAATTGGAACATTAAGGCCTCGTTTGGCAAGTTAACTTTTTAGCCAAAAAGTCAAAAAGTTACTAAAAAAGCCAAAAAGCCTATAACTCATACCAAAAAGTCAAAAATTTCATTTTCTCTCTACTTTTTGCATATCTTTTCGTAAAAAACCAAAAAATCACCCCAAGCATACTAGTTTTTTTTACCTCATATTTTAGCAAAAAAGTAAAAAAGTTACTAAAATAGCCTGTTCCCAAACGAGGCCTAAGTGTATGGAATGAGAATAATAATTAATAGCCAAATTAATAAGTGTGTGCACTAAGAAATGATGTGCACTGAGATAAGTAAGAGTGTGAAAATATAATTTCTCCATGAAATGGTGGTTAAAAGACAACTTTGCAGCCCACTTTACAAAACCAACCAACTTTTTTTTTTTGATAAATAAAAACCAACCAACTTATTGCGTATGAGAGAAGGGTTTTTACTTAATTTTGTAGATTTAATCTCAACTAATACCACCACACTAGTAGTATAGAAACAAACTAGGGCTATTCAAAGACTTGCCTAACTCAAACGAACCAATCCGAATTGACACTATCAGAGATGGTCGGCTTCGTGAAACCTAGCAGTTGGCCATGATTTACAAAATTTTAAAAAAATTCAACCAATGGCAGGTCAAGGATTTTGGAGGAAAAATTACATATAAACCAAACCAACATATAAGGAAGTAAAACATCTAATTATTTTATTGGCAGAGAAAATTACATCTTATAACATTTACACATGGCTTTGTTCGGTTGGTGGACTAGACTAGTTTTTATCAACATTCAATATCAATTTTTCTCTCTACCTTATCACTTTAAAAACTGGCTTTTCAGAGACCACTCTCTATCTTATCACCACTTTTTCTCTCTCCTCATAACTCTCTATCTCAATTTACGAAACAGATTTCTCTTATCACCACTCTCTCTCATGTTTCTCCATTTCTCTCTCTATTTCAAACTAAAGATTTTTCTCTCATAATTCTATCTCAATTTACGGGACAGATTTCTCTCTAACTTATCACCACACTCTCTCATCATAACTCTCTCTCTCTCTCTCTCTCTCTCAAACTAAAGATTCCAAGCCCCATTTGAGGATTCTTCTGCCCCATGTTTGTTGATTTCCATTTGATGATTCTTCCGCCCCATGTTTGCAAATTTCCATTTGGCGATTCTTCTGCCATGCTCTATGTTTGCCGATTTCCATTTGATGATTCTTCTATCGTGCTCCATGTCTTTCAATTTCCACTTGACGATTCTCCTACCGCCGTCTATTTCTGGTCTCCCTAAGAATTAGTCTTAACTTTCTTTCTTTAATGTTCGATTGCATTTTTTTTTTATCACCCCCCCCCCCCATCACACACCCCCCCTCTCCAATCTCCATCCCCAAAATTCCCCTTTTCCAGCTTCAATTTGTGGCATCTCTCTCTCTCTCTCTCATCTGGAAGTTACTTTTTTTTCTCTATTTGTTTGTGTGGACACCAACCTATACCGACCGTGAAGCTGAATGATTTCCTACAGATGGTTTTGATCAGAAGGTTGGTCGACTTCGGTTGTAGAGATGGTCAGCCTGATCTGATCGGTTCGGATGACAAGTTAAGGTCAAACTCAACCTGGACCGACCCATGAACATCCCTAAAACAAACATACTCATACTTCCCTAATTTGGCAAACAAACATATATATGGCCTCTACGTCCTGAGTTCAGTGAATTATTCTACTGTCAACAGCAATCACCAAATGCATCACAATCTTTCCTCTCACAACAATCACCAATTAAAATCATCACAACCATATTCAACTAATCAAACAAAAACACAAATAAAATGCGAAAGACAAACACAACAAAATCAACCCCAACTATGAAATACATATATAACAATTTCAGAGTGAGGAAACGAACCCTATCATGGTCATCTTGAGAGAAGATTTGAGGGGGAGCTGAGAGAGTAAGACGGAGTCATCGGCGAGCTTGGATCCGATTTTAGGGTAGAGAAGCTTCTGGCGTTTGGGGAGCACATTCGTGACTTGGCAAATGCTTCGCTTGAGCTCTCCGATGGTGTCGTCGCCGCAGAGCCTGACGGTGTACTCCTTGCCACTCCATTTCACCGTCAGCGTCAGCTCCTCCACCGACGGCTCCACCGCCGACGACGACGCACCAGCCGCCATTGCAAAGGGATCGGTCCTAGCGGACTACGCTCTCAATCTTGTCTCGGTCCACTATTTTTATATGTTAACCTAAGTTTTACATTTGAATAATTACTTTCTATAGTTTAATTCAAGTCGCGTCTGTTTCCTACTAACCAATCACCTGACATGGGCCTTCTTGGTACAGTTTTTTTCAACTTATTTTAGTTTTTAATTTAATTTAAGTTATTTTGTTGTGTTTATTTTAACTTAACAATGCAGTTTATAACTTTTTGTAAGTTAAAAATCAGCTTATTCTTTGAGTGGTGTAGGAGAAGCTTAATTTATAAGTCAAAAATCAGCTTATATTCATAGTTATAAGCTATAAGCTGTTAAGGCATAAGTTATAAACATTTTCCCACAGCTCTACCAAACAGGACCTTCGTTTGGTATTGACTGTCTTGAACCGATCCGTTTAATTAAAAAGTTAAAAAATTATTAAAATAATTAAAAAGTTAATAATTTATACAAAAAAGTCAAAAAAAAAATTCTCTATTTTTTACACGTCTTTTTGTAAAAAATTAAAAAATCATCCCAACCACACTAGTTTTTTTTAACTCATATTTTAGCCAAATAACCAAAAAGTTACTAAATTAACATGTTCTCAAACGAAGCCTAATTGATTTTTTGTATTGAAAGACTTTTTTTAGTTTGACTTTTTTAGTTTCATTTGGTTTTATTTTTTTGACTTAGTAATGTGAGAGATTTCAAAAATTCTTTTAAAATTGTCACGACCCAAACCCGGCCCTATGGGTTTAGCACCGTAACCGGCCAGTAATCCGAGATTACCGAAGGCCTACAAAACAGTAGTACAGTAAAACAGAGTTCAGGGCCTGGCGGAAGCCAATACAGTAAAGAAACAATGCCCAATGAGCTGTGACAGTCTGAATGCAAAAAGACTTTTCATACATTCATACGTAAACAGTACAGAACAGTATGCACATTATTTACAATCATTCAGACTAGGGACTCAATCCCTGCATAACAGTACAGTAAACATTCAGTCTATACAGAACAGTAAGACGGTACAGAAGGGGAAATTCTAAAACACCCCTAAACCTTAACATGATAGGCTCGGAACCTCGCAGTGAGGCACATAGGCTGGCTTGACAAAACTGGAGTAACCCTGATGCCCCTAGCCGCGGTCTGGTGCCTGTACACCTACATATATATATATGAGCAGTGACCTAAAGTCCAGTGAATAACATAAAGCGTAAAGAGGTTAAGAATGAATGTCCTTACAGTATGAAAGCAGTTCATTTAAATAGTATTTCAGTCTTTCAGTCAGTACAGTCATATGTGGTACACCCATCAGCATAATAGTACAGTAAGCAGTAGGTCTTAAAAGACCGAACAGTAATGATGGCCATCAGTCAGTAAACAGTAGTGGTTCTAACAAGGGAACCGACAGAGAATTCTGTCACAGTAACAGTAAACAGTAGGTGCTAAGGATGCCACAATACAGTTCAGAAAATAGGACATACATTCATTCAGTTAACCGTAATCAGTTCAGAAAACAGTACAGTTCAGTTGTTCAGAAGATAATCATTTCGAACATATCTTTACACAATCGTTACTCACAGAGTTCTGGGCTACAGTATGCTAGAGCGTGTCTCTCCAGTCGCCAACCCTACACAGTTAACAGATTGAACACACTAAGCTACACAGCTGGAAAATATAACAACTTAATCCCTAATTTGCCTCGGTGTGTTCTACATCTATATCCTCAGTAAGATGCTTTAAACTATGCCTAAGCATGCCTAGGATGGGATGAGGATGCAAAGATGTACTCAAAAAAGCAGTTTCAGAATTAATCAGAAAACAGAGTCCCGCTCGAGCGCAGGTTTCCCCGCTCGAGCGGTCATGCAACAAAGGTACACGCTCGAGCGTCAACTTTCCCGCTCGAGCGTACTGTAAAAGTACTGGATGGGAGAAATCTCCGCTCGACGCCCGCTCGAGCTCGAGACACAATCCTCCACTCGAGCGCCCAATCCTCCGCTCGAGCGGACTGTAAAACAGTGCAGAAAAATACTGGATGCTCGGATTCCACGCTCGAGCGCCACTTTCCCCGCTTGAGCGGAAGTGCAAAATCTGGGAATTCCAGATTGCACCTCCAAGCCAAAACCAGGTTCAAATGCATCAAAACCAATCCTCTTAGGCCCATTTTCTGGAAAACCTTTATAAACACATAGAATAACATGGTTCAAAGCTCAATTTGAGAAATCAAAGCCCAAGGGTGTTTAATTCAAACTCAATTTCAAGAACAATATGAACATGCATGAATTCAAATCATTTTGAAGCTCCAATTTGATGCTCTAAGGAGTCAATTGATCCAAAACATGATGAAATCATGGACTATAATCAAAACATGGTCATGCATGCAACAATTTTCCATGAACTCAACTCAAAATCCAACAATTCAAACATGCATGCATGGATTATGCTCTATATCAACACGTATGAACTAAAACATGGCTTAGCTCTACAATTTAACATGGACCATGCAAGAATTAGCTCAAACACAAGAATGAGAAGATGAAATCCTTACCTAAGTCTTGTATTCAAGGTTTGGGAGCTCAAATACGCAATCTATACTTCAATTACCAAGCAATTCTTCAAGAACAAATCTAGTCTCTCTCTCTCTCTCTCCCTTAAGGTCGGTAAGAACAAGAAGAGAGCTGAGGAAAAAGTTTGTTTCAAGTGTATACAAGGCTCACATGGTATATTGAGATAGTGGCCACTAGGGGTAGTTTGGTAAATAAGGCCAACTTAAGCAATAGATCAATATTTAATCTAATTTAATCATACCTAATCAGTTTTCAGATAAATATACCATAAAGTCACATTAATTATGAGGATCATAAAACATCAATCAATTTCGGATTCAGCCGCCGATAAGGCCTTCAATTAACAATTTAAACATAAAACACAAACAGATCAAATAATCAATCAAACAGATAGAATACAAATTAATATACACACTCAGTCAATTCAGTTCCTGTTTTCAGTCAGTCAGTTCAGTACTTTAACCAGTCCAATTATCAGTCATAATCAGTTTAACGGTAATCAATGTTTATCGGTAATCAATCAGTCATTAATCGGTAAACAGTATGAGGGTTGTTACAGTCTCCCCTCCTTATAAAGAGTTTAGTCCTCTAAACTCGAGTTACCTTCGTTCTGGAAGAAAACAGGATTCAGTGGAAACAGTTCAGGATATCTTTTAGCCATGTCATCTTTCCTCTCCCAAGTGGCATACACGCCACCATGGTTTTGCCAATCGACTTTTCCCAGCGGGATTTCTTTGTTTCTCAGTTTCTTGATCCGTCTGTTTACAATCTATATAGGCCGTTCCTCGTAAGTGTAGTCATCAATCAGCACTACACGAGTAGGCTCTATTACATGGAAAGGATCTTGTAGGTAGTCTCTCAACATAGAAATGTGGAAGACGTTATGCATATGCTCCATTTCAGGAGGAAGCGCAACTTGATACGCCACCGGATTGATTTTCTCAATAATCTCATATGGTCCGACGTATCTCGGTGCTAGCTTGCCTTTGACTCCGAAACGAGTCTGACCCTTCATCGGTGTCACTTTCACAAATACGTGATCACCCACTTCATACTCTCTGTCCCGTCTTCTGACATCTGCATAACTTTTCTGTCTACTCTGTGCAGTTTTCAATC